AACCGGGTGATTGAAGTTCTCATCAAGTTTGTGGTGAACACCTGTATGTCTCTTGCACCCTTCATCGGACTGTACACATGCTGAGAAGTCTGCTCTAGGTGCTCTCGAAGTGTAAGACGCTCGGACGATCATATCATCTCCGGAACGTTACTTACTACACCATGCAGGTTTTGTATCGTCCCCATCATAATCTTGGTGCGCCACGAACTGTCACATACTGTCATATCATCTCAACCAACCTGTCAGTGGACGACTAAGCCGAACTCGCTGATCTATAGTCCCTTCATCATGGTCCTTGCACGAAGTACGCCTGTCCTCCAGTTCTAGACTTCTCTCGCTTAAGATGATGAAACGATAGTCTATTCCGCATCCATCCTGAGCTCGTACGTACCACTCGTCAGAGAGCAGACAGCGTACTTATGACACGTAGACTTAACAATCGCGATCATCTGCGCGAGTTCACCTCGCAAACATTGAACGGCGCGATCGTCATGTCCGACTTCCAGGCGCGCTCCGGCGCTCTGCGAGGCCGTAGGGGCAATCTGTCTTCACTGCACACAACGCGAAGTGTAGAACCATCGGATACGATCTTGACCAGTCCTATCCAGATCAGGACGCGCACCTCCCGTAGTGAAGATGTGGAGGTCCTGCGGTACGAAGGGAAGAAGGAAGGGTTGATGTGAGTGACGGTCGTCTCCTGACGGTGTGAGGGTTGCAGGCTCATCGTATCTCAGAACAGTCGATATCGAGGGGATTCATCACTAGGGACCATGATTCCCGACAACTGGTTGTAGAACAGTATAGTCTATCCCGTTCACGCTGGGCGCTTGTATATATCTGTATTGCATATGTAACGCCATGTGCCTGCTCAACCGCCCGAGTCTACATTGAAAGACGCAACAGTATCACCATCCGAATCCGTATCCTCCCAAACCTCAGCATTCTCATCCGCAGCCCTCAGTTCGGCTCTCCTTCCCTCCTTGCGCTTGATGGCACCCCTCAACACAGCCTTCTCGCTCTCGAAACCGTTCAACCGCGCACTAGCATCGCCACCAGCCACTCTCGGCCTGACCTCATGCAGATGCGCGCTCCTGGCCCACTTTTTCACGCTTCGGGGCATGGGCCCAATAGTGGGTGGATGAACGAGCGACCCCCCCGCGGACGAGTGGCTTGTCGAGCGTGCGAGCATTGGTCGAGAGCTTGTAGGTGTTGCGGGTGTACCGTGGCGATGCGTATGTGTGTATCGGCGGATAGGTGTACGTGTTCCACTGGCTATCCGTGGTCGGTGATGCGAGATGTGTGTATCGTCTAGCTCGATACGCGGGAGTTTGGGCCGCTGAGGGGCGGGCGAAACAACCACTCTCGGTCGCTGTTGCGATGAGGACGACGGGAAGGGCACCGAGCTTGAGTGTGACTCTGCGCCATCTGCAGAGACAGGCGCAGGCGTAAGACTACGCGACCGGAAACGTTGGTACCAGTCCGAGCGCAAAGAGAGGTTGCGTTTGCCCCATGCGCGCACGGCGGAGGGCGATTCGCCTGCGCCGCGGGTGAGGGAAAGGAAGACGAGCACTGCGAGGAGCAGGCAGAGTTGAGCTACGCCCAGATGCTTCTCTAGGGCTACGTCGTGCGCGAGGGCTTCAGCTTGTATAGCAAGCGCTCTTTGTTCTGCCTCTAATCTTCGCCTCTCGCGTTCGAGGTCCGCCAACGCACGTTCATGTGCTTGCGATTGCGCGCGTCCAAGTGATTCCAGACGGCCAAGCTCCTCATGCAGCCTCCGCAGGGCATCATGCATCGCGCCAGTCTGTGACGAGACGTAGCGGGAGTATAGCGTCGTGTTGGCCTCAAGCGCAGAAAGACGGTTCATGATCGTGCGGTAGATGCTCTCGCCTGTTGAGGCGAACTGCACAGGTACGACGGCGGGCGCGAGCGATATCGTCTTGGTCTCCGACGCCGAACTCGATGTAGATGACGGCTCGGATGGCGGCGTAGTGCCGATAGTTGGCTCGGCGCGTGCGGAGGTATCGCTGGCGTTGACCGTCTGTATGGGCTCGAAAGGTGTACTCTCCGGCGTGGGCGCAGGCGAGTGCGAGTCACCAACCCCATGTGCGATATCGGTACTATGCCTGAAGATCCGACTCGTATCGTTCATCTCCTCCTCGGGAGTTGGAGCCTCGAGCGTGATCATAGGGGTCCGAACGGGCGGCGGCACAGTAGGCGTCGATTCCTGCTCGACAACGAGCGGCGTTGGGACCGGCTGCGGTGGATCCGCCGCCTCGACTGATGGTACACTAGTACTCGACGCAGCAGCTTGCTCCTGCGCCTCGAGTGCCCTGGCTTTGGCACGACTCTCGTTCTCCCAGAGTTCCCACTTCCATTGTTCGAGGTGGGTGAGGCCGTAGACTCGTAGAAGCGATATGGGACAGTAGTATTCGCTCCCGTAGTGTGAGTGAAAGTCGATGCGGATGAAGCGATAGAAGTCGCGCAGTGACTTCGGCGGATGGAAAGACTACAAAGGACGTCAATATCTCCTAGATGTGAAACGAGGTAGAGAATACTTGCCTGAACCCCGCGAACATTCTTCGCCGTATACGTCCCCGCGACCGTCCACCCCGAACTCTCCACCTCATACTGTTTCGCAACCGAAACCGTGAAATCCTTGAATACGCCCGAAAAGAACTCGTAGTTGGCCATCTGTACCGTGTCTATCCAGATATCGTCGCACAGCTCGACTACGATGAACTGCGGCCGATCGCCGCACGGAGACAGCATGTACCGGTCCTTCTTGCTGCTCAAGATATTGTGTGCGCTTTTGGCTCCTCGGTGCGCGGTATGAACTCGCGCTGAGCAGTCGAGCGAGGCGTAATTAAACCGATCTGTCAGCGGTATGCGAAAGTGTGGGGATAGTGGTTCCGGCGTGTCGTGTATCCCAAAGCCGCCGTCTGGGGCGTCGGTAGACGGAGGGGACGGCGTCGAGCCTTCGACAGGAGAAAGTATGGTAGTGGCCTGACCGCTTCCGTCGAGAATCGTCCCAGAAAGGTTGGGCTGAGCGGTGAAGTCTGGCACTGCCGTGGGCGCCTGCTGTCCATCTGCGAGTTGGCGGGACTTCCATTCCTCGAATGAGAGCAGCAGATCTTCATCGACGGGTTCGAGCGGCGTCAGCGGCCGAAGACAGCATATCGGTTCCTCTGGCGGTTTCCTGGCATGGATAACGATATCTCTGAACGGGTCATTGGGCGTGGAAGGCGCGGCAAGGGCAAGCAGGGGCCATGCGAATATAAGAGCGAGCAGAGGGCGCGGGAGGTGGTGCGCGGTGTACATGAGCAGAGTGTTACCCAGTACAGTCTACGTAGCCGAGAGCGCGTAATCTAAGTCGTCGACGCCGTCGACGCTGCATGCGACCTAGTGGTAGTTCGAGACAAAGGTACATCGTGTCTATTCTCGACGCTCTCCTGGATCGCCCACACGCCGCCACGTTTGATGTTCCCGGCGGCACGTATCTCTCACAAAGCTCCTATAGGTATTCGTTACTCAGGCCTGTCTATCTCCGACGGCATTCAGGTGTATCCTCAGTAAACAGGTGGACATATGAAAGATACGACAGATGAAACAAGTTCAGTCTTTATTCCAGGTTGTGGAGCATTAGAAGTAAACAGGCAGGGCGGTACGTCCATGACTATAACATAAACTGCAGGCACGCAGAAAGTCCCCATGGATCCGGTCCATGCCTGAAGCTGACCCTGAGGCTCGAAGCTCGACGCGTCATCGCTTATGTGCACTAGTAGGCAGTATCAGCAGCGGCTCAATAGTCGACGCGAGTAGACATACAGAGACAGCGGAGCCCGTCGCGGCTGTGTTCATGATAAGAGCAACGATAAGGCCGTACAGACCCAAGACCTCAGCGAAAATGAGGATAAGAATCTGGGGTATATGTCAGTAAGTACGGGACGGTACAAATGAACGTAGTGGATACGTACCATGCCGACGAAGAGACGCGGCTGCTGTGCGGTGCCACGCACACCGGCGTCGCCGACAATACCGATGGCAAAGCCAGCGGCGAGACCGGCAAGACCGACCGAGAGACCAGCGCCGAGCTGGACGAAGCCCTGGTACAAGGTGATTTGGGCACCGACTACGTTTCGAATTCAATTAGCAGACCAATCTTGCACCCAGGTGAAGCAGCTTTGACGTACGGTTACCGGAGATAAGCACCGATACGACGAGACCGTAAATCTGTGGTCGTCGTTTCAGTTCCCGACTCAACACGAAAGCAAGAGCAGAAGACGTACGGCAATGATACCAGCCATGACGACTGGGACGACGTTCTTCATCATCAAGTCCGGGCGGAGAACGGCCATTGCGGAGATACCGACACCAGACTTCGCGGTACCGTAACTGTACAGGAATAATGAGCGAGCTATCCAAAGCCGAGGGCGACACGTCGCGGCCCGGCGGTATGAGTGGGCCGGGTACACACCTTGCACCAATGCCTATTCGCAAGGAATATTCCTTCAGTGGTCATTCTCTATCTTCAATCCTTTGACTATACTTACAAGTCAAGGCAATAGCAGCCGTGCAGCCCTACAACAACCGACCAGTCAGCACCGTGTTCACCAACCCGTTCAACACTAATAAACCCACCATAGAGCTGAAGAAGGGCGCGTAGACGGGGCAGAGGTCAGACATTATTATGAGCTAGAGAAAAGGTGAGGCTGAAGTCGTCGGCGACGGTGAAGCTCGGAAGGCGACGTCGAGGTTGAAGGCAACGTCGTCGCCGCGCCCTTCCTCGTCCGAGCGATCCGCGCGCTCGCATCACGGCATTTGCCGGAGGGCGATGATGACGGGCGCGTTGACTGGTTTCCGTCCGCACGGCCATCATGACATCGCTGCGTTATTCGAGTAATCCACACTCCAATGCCATCTGCCCTTATGTGCTGCTACGACTCAAGAGCGTTCCGCTGTAGAGCGTTCTCACTCGTCATGTCATAATCAACAAGAGCCACCGCGCATCAAGCTTTCGGCGACGAACCCAACCCGCGTTTCGGACCACACGTATACGTACCAGGAGGGTCGAAGTGGCCACTTGACGCACAGCTGATATCTCATCATGATCCTTTGGATAGATAGGATATCGACTGCAATGAAAGCCAGGATGGCAAACCACTTGATGGACGCAGTGCAGGGTGTTCAGGTGGCGTGATATGTCGGATAGAGAACTATCAACGTAAGCGTGCAAGGCAACTCCGATGCTGATTACTTATTGAGTATAATCCCAGCTCTCTTTAAGTACGATCCAACAAGAGCACCACACCATCTGCAGCGATGGATCGACCGCACCGTTCTTGTCGGCTGAAGTCAAGCGTGTCCCATCATCTGGGAAGACCATGCTACGTGCCAGCGGCAACGAAACAGGAAATCTCTTGGATAATCCACCTTAGAAAGGAAATGAGTGTGAAACGGCTCTCAAGCCCCCAGTCAGCACGTACCCTTGTAGCTGATCTTGATATCTCTCAGGCAGCCTCAGGTGGTTACGGAACTGCCTGATATACTGCAGCCCAATGACCCGAGCGGAAGACCTGCCCCAAAGCGACGACTCCGGCCCCACGACCACAGCCAGTCCTTGGCTCCACGGATCTCTCCCGCCCTCATATAGGCTCGTTCGACAAGATCGTGAACCACAAACACCCTCGTCCTCAGCAATATGTCAACTTCAGAAGTCCTTACTCTGCTTCATCAGCTCAGTGTGTGCTCAGCCCCGTGTAACCATTCACGTTGCTTAACTGCTGTCAGCTTCCCTGCGCAATATGACCGTAATCTTCACGGGCATTTACTTGTAAACCTAGGTTCACATCTCAAACCTCCAGCTGAATACATCACAGCCACGAGTTTCTTACGAACTTGGATCATGATTGGACTATTCTGCGCCGGCAGAAAGAGCATCGGCTCGGAGCGCGTGTTGCTCAATGGGTGCGTAGAACAATTAAGGCAGATTGTTCATGCATACTGATTATATACGAAGACCTACCTATCGTGCCGATTGCTCGCATTGTTCTACGGCATCTGCATATCCATCGTAGCCTTCCCGGGCCGACGCAATTGCGAGGTGAGATCGTCGAGCTAAGTACCTGAGGTTAGTCTGACAGCTGACGAGAATGAACAGGTCGTGATGAAGCTCAATGTGGTACATCATTCCTCCCGTCTTCTTGACTCGTAGTCAGGACTCACTGTCACAAGATCACAAACTTTCTTAGTATGCTGTGCTCCTCTGCTCTGCTCTCCATACGTATGTGCGTCTTTTCTCCCGGGGACTGCGTCATCGTGTACCGCTAACGCATATTAGTGGTGCCATTTGGAGATGGAATAGGTTTATAGTGTCAACCTTACTCACCATTCTACTGGTCACCTTGGGGCTAGCTATATATTGTGAGTACTCACAAGAAGACTTCACTCGAAGTGTCAGTTCTGAAGGAGGGCGGGCATCAGGCGTAGTGAAGGTTTGTCGAAAATATCTTCCAATCAGGCTCCTTGCATATTAAATGCTTCTAATAGATCAATTCTTCCTATGATACAACTATACAATTCTGTGGCCTGGACGGCGTCCACACAGCCCTACCCGCCTTCGTGGGAATCTTGCTCGGAGATTGCGCATTACTCGCGCTGCTCCTTGTAGGGTTGCAGACCAAATGGCGCGATGTTCGCAAGTTGCGCACATGGAGGTTGTTATGGACACAGGCGAGTGTTTCTGATGTCTTCAAGGGCGTGCGGTGACCAGGTATACAGGGTTGGGTGTACGTCTTGCTAGCAATTGTAGTCGAGGTACCCTCAGTAGTACGTAGCGGGTGAGCCGATACTTACGGTTCTCGGATGCTCACCGTCTTGGACAGGTTCTGCCGGTTTTGGATATCAACCGTGTGTCATTCTCATTTCTAAGTCCGCGACGTTTCGATGAGCCGAATAGCTTTCCTGAACTCTGTAAGGGACTTTTTCTCGTCAAGCAACCCAAATCTGACGTGACCCTTTGATGCAGATGTTCATTACCCCCGAAGGTGAATGCCTGTACTTCCAAAAATGGTTCCCCGAGTCATCTGATGCCCTTTTCATTGCCGCATATCAGCCATAATCCTGTGAGTACGCGTCACGAAACACGGCCGTGTATGTAGAGGCTGATGCGCCCTAGAGCGGTGGGAGCAACCCGACTGTTTCGCTCGCTCAACAGCGCTACTCAAGGTGACATAGTCAGCCAGTACGCCCCCTTCACTTGGGTGAGGTTTCTTGAACTCAGCGCTTTTCAGGCAGTTCACGGTATCTCGCGAAGCCGTCGTTCCTCGTCACAATATCCGACTCAAACCGCTGCGGGGACGAAGGACTGGAAGGGTACCCGACATCGCCAAGTCGCGAGCGTGAGAATGAAATGTCTCCGGCGCGTAACCAGGAGATACACCAGAACGAGGTTCTGAAGTATCATGCAGTTCGGGTTCACTCCAATATTTGCGCAAGAGGGTCGGATCACAAAAGCAAGATCCGTGTGTTCGCATCACGGCCATTGCCGAGGGTAGTGACGAAGCATCCTCGCCTCCGTGCGCCGCTCTTACTACCGCGATGTGCTTTCCACTATTATACATCTACGCCATCGTCTCCGTGCGAGGAAGCGTTAACTTATCAATCTGCGTGCAATATGTGGACATCCACAGAGCTCCTCGGAGCGTACACTAAGACGTCGCTCGTTAGGTCACAGACCGCTCCGACTCGTCATTCATGCTATGGTCTCCTAGTCTGCGTACCTTGTCGTCCTGAACGACAGAGACCTCTTGGCTTACACTGATATGAAGAGGGGGCTGGCAGACCCAGTATCATCGCATGATTACTCGAGGAAGGCTTGGGCGCACGCACCTGGCTTTCCTTATTGCTATAGAGGTCGACCGGGTTTGTTCGAGAGCGAGGACGGAAGATGCTCAGCGCATGGCTCACGCCGTCAGAGGAGCTGTGCGCGTCCTTGCCTCTTTGCTCGGTAGAGCGCGAATTGAGCCTGATGATGGAGCTCAGCGCTTATCGAGAACAGCGGAACGCGCAAGGCTCACGTTGCCAAACAAGAGTTGGAGTAGACTGATGTGCGGTGTGAGTGACCCGTTCAGTTGATTGCCTACGATGTGGGAGGATGACCTGACTCACGCTTAGACACGAAGAACCATCTGATAGGCAGGTTAGCAGATGATCCTACAAGATGGACGGATGGACTCGTGCTCACATCGCGGCGAAGATGAAGTTATGCGGCATCAGTTGGAACTATGAGGCAGGTCAACTGTGATGTCGCGGTTGTAGAGCTGAGAGTGCTTGCCAGAATCACGACGGAAAGACTGAACGCCGACGTAATGGCTCCTGTGTTGACACTCCAAGTCCCTTCAGCTATCGTCACGAACACGCGTCAGGCCCGAGCTTTTACCTGAACATGATCAATTTGTTGATAATCCCCTCAGTCTTTGCGTAACCCGTTCGCATGGTGTGCAAATAGTAAGTGAGGACAGCCGCAGTGAGCAGATCCGTCGCTGCACCTATTGCCAGAGCGGCCGTGGCGAGCGACTGTGGCACCGTCGCATTAGCGCACACTCCGATGCTAAAGGTTTGCCTTCACCTTCAGAGCAAAGAGAGAGTTGACTGGCTGTTGAGAACTGTTCAGGGTCAGTCACCTCGTGTGGACGGAGGTAAACTTCGATGGTAAGACGCACGCCTCAACCGAGAACGCTACGAGATGACTACCAGTCAGCATCTGAATATCCTTTCAAGTCGGACACGCACATATGCCAAGCGACATCTGAGTTACGGCCATGATGCTCTGAAACAGATGGTTCAATACTCTGCCGAACGCAGTGACTTGTTGGTCGGCGCACAATCAAGGCCAGCCACCAGTAGCAGCCGTTGCTGACTGAAGGGGCACGGGAGTCTGATCAGCACATACTCTAGGATGAGTTGTACAACACCTTACTGATGTAGATGCGCCACCCAAGGAATATCTTCACTACGGCAGATACGAGCACCTGACGCCTATACGATCAGTCCCGAACATGCGCAATGCATGACACTCACGTTGAGAAATACAACCGCCTGCAGATCTCGTCAGCCCTGCTTTGATCATCTTAACCTAGAACGCACACTAAAGCTCCTACAAAGATCATGACGATCAGACACTGCCCTCCATGTTCTTTACTGCGAGCAACACGTACCACACCGCCCTCGAGACGAACGTCTCCTCGGCATCTCCGAAGTTCCTGTTGGTCCTGTGAGTGTCGGCCTCGACCTCGGTGGAGCCAGACCAATAGACCTTACGATATACTGCCAACACGCATGGCCAATAACCACCTGGTGAGTGATCTCGAGTAAGCTGACCAGAAGATCGTGAGTATCTTGTGACGTTGCGCAAGTACCCCAAAAGACTGACGCTATGAATGAGACCTAGTAGACAGGGGTGAGCCTCAGCGCATAGTGGTAGAAAAGAAGATAGAACTTACGAGAAGCTTACGCCAGCGCGAATCGTTGACATATCGAGTGAAGTAGATCACAGCTTGGAGGCAGAATATACCGAAGCCAAGCATAGAAATACCCCAGCCAACATATAGTGCTCCGATGGTAGCCGAGTTTGGAGGTAGCTCAATGGCTCGCACGGCGATAACGCTCGGGGGAGACGTCATGATCAAGACAGGCGAAGTGAGCTCGGCAGCGACAAATGCGAAGGAAGGACGGAGTTATCGCGCAAACCGGGACTTCCACCCACGGAGCGCAAACAGAGCGGCGGGAAGAGGTACGATTAGTATGCGCTTGGCGTACTTGTATACGATATGTCAGAGGCGCGCTGAGAATAGTGGCAAGAAGAGACACGATCCGGCTCTTTCGGATGTAAGAGGATTGTAGAGTAGTTGCCTGCTTCATCAAGAAGATCTCCATCCCATGGCGTACTCAGGGTCATGGGCGCGTAGGTGTATCGGAACCCCTATCCATATCTGAGAACACTGTTTGATGACTGTATTGTGCGAACGGGGTTGCATGATACCGGGCGGCTTCAATACTCGTGGGGCAACTCCCCAGCGCTGTTGGACAATCACGTCGACATGTTGCTCATGCATTGGACACGGGCTGAGCGGTCCGAGCGCCTATGGGCAGACGAATGGCATGGCGTTTTGGAGTGAGGGCGGAACGCGGACTGGATGATCCTGCGGCTTATCATGACATGAGAACAGCGGGAGAAGCATGCTGTACAGGTCCACGGTCCATGTAAGTAGCCCGATAGAGAGCACTGTTGCATCCAGCGTTGTCAAGTGCATGTACCTTGGGGTACTGCCTGAGAACGTGCACCACGTATGAATGCAGGGACCTCTTTGATAAGCAAGCACATGATGGTGACGAGCATCATTTGCAAACGCCCGAAGACTCCGCCCCGAAGACTCCGCGCCGGTCAAGTCAAGAGTTTGGAAGTCGATTCATCAGACTCACAGTCCTCTTGTGGCAAGGTTAGACTGGAGCAAGAGACTGCAGATTGCTTATACTGGACGTGCAAGGAGGTGGGCGCAAGAAACAAACTGCGTCGCCTCCTCGACGGTGACAATCGAGGTGACGTGTAGTGACCGGCGGTGCGATGTTTCGGTCCACTCGGGCTCAATTCCGACCTGCGTCGTGGTCGAGGGAAACAACGCAATAGCGCAGGAATGTAGTGCATGCTTGAGCACAGGGAAAGACGAGACGAGACATGAGATCTTGATGCTGTGTTCCTTTCAAGTTTCCGTAGTCTTCTAACTCGTATCCTTTCCTGACATCGCTGTTCTCCTCATCAGTGCTCCACCTCGCACTTCTCATGCGGGCCTGTCTGCATTGAAAGAGACTACTCTCGTCATACACCCCGATGAGAAAGAGTGAATACGCCACAGTTCTGTGACGGGTCGGGGCCCGACTCTCAGGTGACTTCGACGTATTGCCCGTCAGAACGGTCTTGACCAAAGTACGTAGTACGCCAGCACCTCAGGTGCTCTAGTTCAGACTGAGCGTTATCTTGGAAAGAGGTTCTATCAACGGAAGGAGATATCGCTAGTCCACTAGCTGCAAAGGGGTAGGCATATGAATTCCTTCCTCGTGGTGTCTCAATCCTTGGGAGTTCACTCTCAAGTCCGGCGTCAACGCTTGGTCCCAGGTCGCAAGCACCTAAAATAGTAAGTAGCGCCCTTATCGACATGTATATCATTCCACGCATGAACCATCCTGATTTGAAGGCAGCTTCGACTCTGGGTACGTATCACGCCAAACCTACAAAGGCTAACATGTCCACGGATGGAGTAAAAGACGAAAGTAGTAGACGCTCGGCGGACACGGTGATGCGAATGCGCATCGCTGATTGTGACGCAAACCGTGAACTGTATGTAGTGATGTTGTGGATTCATATATAGCATGTAGACTGACACCAGATAGGAGGTTTGCCTTATAGTAGTACTGTAGTATAGACCGCGGGATCCGACTGCCAACCGAAGAGACTAACTTTACAACCTCGCTAAAATCCGAACCCGAGATGAATCGACGTTGACGTTGCCATCCACCTTGGGACCACTATAGGTAGGAAGCCTGTCGAGACTACCCTTCAACTGCGCTTCGCTGACGATCGGCGCATTGACGTGATTGTGGACTCCCAACTTCTGCAGGTCGGAGTGAAGAAAGGGCAACGCGGTTCTCATCGCGTCCGCTCGCCTTGTCAACAATTCGGTCTTCCCGATATTGGCGTGCTGAAGATACCATGACGCATCGAGGTCCACTACACCGAGAGCGTATATGTCGAGCATATACTGTGGAACGCCGGCATCTCGCGCTGAGCGGTACGCCATGGCATGTCCGAAGGCGGCGATTGAACTCTCGGCTTGCGGAAGGATGAGTGATTGGAACTCTTGACTATGATGTCCGCCGGATAGATTCCGCGCAAGCGTTGTGGCTTCGTCAAGGACTGATTGCGCATGATGAGCGAGCATGGAATCCTTGACAGCGGGAAGGGGGACGGTGTATCGTTTGACGAGCATCTCACAGAAGAGGCGAATGCAGAGAGTTAGAATGTCGCCTTCGGCGATGACACCGCCTTTGCAGTCACACTAAGCCGATGAAGTTAGAATTCGTGAAGGTACGCGAGACGAGGAGAGTACGGACAATAGCGCGTGCAATGAAGTTGTTTTCAAATGTTCCTTGAGCGCCGCAGCGTTCCGAGATCGTCTCCGCGCACTTTTGGAAGTGTCGGTAGACTGTAGTCTTCACTACGATGGAGACGCCATGACGAACACGAGGGTCCATGTTGTCATCTACGACAATGTCAATCATGTCCTTGTACCATGCTTCAAGAACGTTTGCCACCGCGACAGCGCTCATGATGGGCCATTGCTGTGTGGGGAAGGAGATGATGGGGGTAGGCACCGGTCCACGCCCGACAATAGTGCGATGTAGGGAGTATTGCCCGCCGATATATGCGACGTGTTTGATGCTCTGCAAGACGGGTCCCGCAATCGCCATGCTTCCCAGCGGGATGCGTCCGACTTCACCCCACCAGGCATCTCGAGGCGAGGAAGGCGCTTCGAGCGACGCGCTAAGCAGAGCGCTCTCCGGTAGACGCACGTTGTGGAACGACGTCAGGGAGAAATCGAGCGGAGAGGTCCCGCTGCGAGTCGGAAGGCGTTTGGAGACTATTCCAGGGAACAATCGCTTCTCATCGCAGATCGGCACCATGAACCAGCGATGACCGCGGTCCTCCTTATTGACAACAAGGCGTGCCATGACCAGAGCGACTTTCCGGACACCAAATAGAGGGGTGCTAGCCGGCATGAACCTGCATGACACCCTAAGAAACGGAGGTGATAGCCGCAAGGATGAAACTCACTTTGTGGCTTCCTCTCGAGGGGTGTTGAGAATGTAACCTCCGTCCGGCATCCTGGTCGCCGTAGTCTCGTTGTTGAACGAGTCCAAGCCGTGACCACGCTCGCTAAGTAGGTAAATCCCAACCGTGTCGAGGCGCATCATGGAGTCCACCAGAGGCTCCAAATCGGGTCGTCGGTCAAGGTATCGGGCCAGGGTGCCGACCGTTAGATTGAGGTGAGCAGCGATGATAGTAAAGCATGCTAGATCCGTTGGGATGATGGGGTCGAGATGTAAACGCCAGAACTTGGGACTGTAGTTCAGCACGTCCGCAGGAGAGAGCTCTGCGGGGAAGCCATTTTTAGCTCGCGTGCTCGGGAATAGAAAACAACAGGAAAACTCACGATACGTTTCTAGTATGAGGCGGGCGCGTTTGTACGAGAGAGAAACGCGCTCGTCTACGGTCATAGAACCAATATCCACTTCCCGGAAGAGGGGGTGCGCGTACAGCATGTTGTCAGACATGGTGCGGCGGATGCGTACGTGCAATCAAACTTCGGATGTTCGTAGGATGCGGGAGAAGCAACGATGATCATGTCGTGCGAGGAGCGCTGATATCTGTTCGGAAGTGTACGCTACACTGTTCGGCCGGGTGCGAATCTGCCATAGTTGGATGTAGTACTGTATAGCCCGTTGCCGCTCGAACGCCGGGCGCGCCCTGGTGGCGATGGAGGAGTGAGAAGATCAGCTACACTCATGGCAGGTGAGTTCGGAGATAGCAACCATATGGATACACGATAGCTACCACCGAATGACTACTCAATGGTAGTAGTGTCGCGATTCGCACAGCTGTCTGGAAACCGCTTGGCGGTCTCCTGCACCACGACAGCGCAGCGTTATACTCGTTTGAGTGGGCGCATACCTATTGCTTGTGCATGCGTCAGCTATACAACGTCGTACGCCACTGTGTATAATGAATCAAGCTGCACACACGGCTGACTGCTCCGATCAAGATGTGCCGCTGCATCTACGTCGCGAGAGAAGCCTGCGGACGCCCAGGAGTCGCTCTGAAACGTTGCCAGAGAGGCCGGAGACCTCTCGTTCGCCATGGGACATTGTATGTTCTTGCCCTCAGGGGGAAGCCAGAACACCCTTCTCATTCGCGAGCACGGCGAGGATGTACATGTCAGGAGTGCGAGATGTCTGGTGGCAAGCCTTATTCGGGCGGTAGCCTGCCGAGAACGAAGCAGCACGTGATCAAATCGCTGTTGCAATTGATGGGCGCTCGCCGTTGCTCGGGCCTTACTCAAGCGCTCATGTCGCCTCAAACGTACTTTGGGCAGAGCAAATACCGCATGTACTTATGCGGTAGCCCCTGCTCCGTTTGAGATGCAAACGCGACGCTTCCATCATCACTGGTGTAGCTGTCTTGAGTATAGATCGCTCCGCAGAACTGTACTGGTGCTCCGCCAGCGCCCATCCTTGAACCTCGTGGTGTCAGCCAATTCTCGGTCGAACCCTGGGGGTTGTCAGTGACCATCCTCTTATCGTACATAGGGCCTCTCCGCAACGCCATCCGGCGTCTATACCCTTGAGTCTCAACGCTCACCCCTGAGCTCTTACCCAACATTCCTTCATACTTCTCCCCGGTTTCTAGCTCTTAGCATGGCAGACGCTGCTTCTGCCAGCACGAGAAGTTTCCATGAGCACGAGAAGACTCCTCTGCAATCTGGGCCAGATGCGTCACCCGTCTCGGCTTCGGGGACGCCCCATGTACTAGACGGTGGTGCAAGGGCCTGGTCGACGATGCTTGGCGGGTTGGTACACTATGCGCACTACCATATTCTGGTCCTGACACGATATCCGAGTCAGCTTTCTCGTGTACATGGCAACGTTCGGTTATGCCAATGCCTTTGGCGTCTTCCAAGACTACTATACCCGAGCTGGGACCTCTTCCGCGTCCAACATCTCCTGGATTGGAGGTAAATGTCCTGACTATCATCTGTGAATTATTGCGCTGATCGTATCGCCAGGCGTGCAGCTATTCCTTCTCATATCCGTCGGACTCATCTCTGGCAAGCTGCTTGACCAGGGCTACTTCCGAGTAACCACGTGGGTCGGGACCGTACTCTACGTATTCTCGTGAGTTAGCTCAATCCACTTTTGTGCCACATGCTCATCTTAAGCATGAAGGCTCTTCATGGTGTCCATTGCGCATCCCAACAAGTACTATCAGCTTTTCCTGTCGCAGGGCGTAGGGATGGGTCTTGGTGCGGGGCTGATCTACGTGCCTGCGGTTGCGGTACAAGCCCATCACTTTCGTGTCTACAGGCCGGTCGCTGTCGGTGTTGTCAACACAGGTATGGCTAGTCTTATTGGCATGCCTCACATGCTGACTATGCTGACGCGTTGTTGAATAACAGGCTCGTCGATAGGTGGCATCATCTTTCCTATCATGCTCAACCGTCTCATCAACGGGAGACTCGGCTTCGCTTGGGGTGTGCGCGCGACGGCATTTGTTACTCTTGGCGTACTCATAGCGGCGAACCTGCTCATGAGCTCGCATCCCGCCGTCACATCGAGAGAACGTCCGCCAAAGAACGTCCGCGCTCTCTTCACCGATAAGACATACATGCTGCTCATCCTGGGGTGCGGATACCTTACTATTGCATCTTCCCGTAAGCTGACGTCCTTGCAGAGGGCTCTTCATGCTGTGGGGGTTATTCTACCCTTGTGAGTTCACGTTCAGCTCGATGACCGGCATTGATTGATGGTGAACGATCTAGACTTCTACCTACAACTTTTCGCGATTAAGCATGGCGTAGAACCTACCGTCGCCTTCTACTCGGTATGTATCCTCGTGTCAACATTGAACGCTAGCAATCCGTCACCAACCTGTCACGTCTCCAGCTTGCTATTTTGAACGCGGGATCTATACCCGGGCGGATCGTCCCAAACTTGTTTGCGCGCCGGATAGGTGTATTCAACAGTGTCATCGCATGCTGCTTTGTATGTGGAGGTCTACTGTTCGCCCTGTATGGGGTCAGAAGTGTTGCCGGCACTGTTGTGTTCTCGATCATATACGGGTTCTTCTCGGGAGCATGTAGGTCATTGATCACCATCCTAAATGGTCGCTCCTGTTTTCATGCCTTGCATCTGCAGTCTTGTCTCTGGTCACACTGGCCATCTCAACACTGGCTAAGGACGAGAGCGAAATCGGGTACGCTGCTATTCACCTGTGATGCATGATCTCGATCTGACGGCCATCGTTACTAGCGTTCGCGTAGGCCTTGGGTTCGCACTCGCTGCCGTCGGTGCACTGACGGGCAACCCTATCGTCGGCGCGTTGCTCGGCGACGACTTCAGCTGGGGAAAGACGATCGTCTTCAGCGCCGTGAGTACTTCTCATTCGTCTTCTCCGCAGTCTCATGACATACTGATGCGCGCTAGGTATCTATCCTCAGCGGCACCGCCGTCATCTTCATCGGCAGATTATTTTTAGCAAAAGAGAAGGGTTCACACTTCGTCTGACGGTACTATGCGTCCTGCGCCCCTCTTGAGTAGGACTCCGATTCTAACTATCATAGACAATGTAATCGACTACGTAGTACTCGAGTTTCTGTATGTCTCTGGTATGCACATAGTGTTTGTACTGTGCGCATGACACACGGAAGGGCTACATATATAAATTCGTGCCAGTGGTGAACGTGGTACCTATGCGTGCAACCTCGCCTGGTCCTCGGCCCTACTCATTGCATCACCTTTGCACTTCGACGGTTCACCAAGGATCCACATACGGACGCAAAGCAAGCCGGAGGTTCGTCAGGACACAGTTTGTATGGTGACTGGTCGGTGAGGGCCCCCAAGACTTGGAGGTGTGCCAGAGCCTTGTCGTGTGAGCATGGATTTTCTTGACTGGCGTGGTGAACGCCAAGCACGCCAGGACGGGCAAACCGGAGAACGTGCGCAATCCGGAGGTATATTTGATGGGGAATATGGGTACGAAGTCAGGATCGGCGATGATGGAGGCGAGTGAGAAAAAGAGGCGACCTGCGCGCGACGACCGACGGATTCGAACCAGCGCGGCACGGGCGCGCATTTCGCGCATCTGCTTGTTTTGCTGCACTTGCTCGTTGACCACGACCACGACGTCCGTCATGTTGTACAGAGGCTACACGGTCTCCAGCATCTCCCAGCAATATGACACCATATCCGGTCTTACCACAGCTTGATTGATCTACGCCGCTACGTGTCTGCCGCTTCCGGGCATCATTGTGCCTGCTGCCATTCGAAGGCGCCCGTCTGCCATACAACCTAGTCGGGCGCCAATCGCGACTTGGCGGCCCGCCGGACATGGACTTCAAGGGCGATCATCTGCGAGAGTATGCGTTCCATCCATATAACGCGCTCCCTGTACGGCCGTGGTCGCCTTCGGGGATCGTATAGACTCGTTTTGCGCCATGCTATCTCGTCTCCACCCGTCACCCACGCGAGCCGCGCGCTGGCGCACGCTACCTTGGGCAGAAAGCACTATTTCTCCGCCCACAACCCCTGTCCGCTCCTTGAGCACGATGACCAGCCCAAAAGCTGAGCACTCGCGAGTGAAGTCGCGTCTTCGACTTGGGATAGCTGGTGTGTCCGCGCTGAGCTTCGGGGCTGGTATCATGCTCGGCCGCCGCGAAAGCGCTGTCAATTGTAGTCAACCTCCCGATGCGAGGATACATTATGGCGGGCCTCACGAATTGAAAGCCGTACAAGCCGCGCTCAAAAACGCGTTTCACGATCGCCCGCAGCTAGTGTCCACGGACGCGTCCGACGTTGACGTCCACGCGACTTGGTTCACAGCACGCGAAGGAGGTTAGACAAGCTTGTTCAACAGAGTATACGTGCTAATCCATATGATAGTCATTCCTCACAACGTCATCGTCTATCCGGAGTCGACTGAGGACGTGGTCAATATCGTCGAGCTCGCGAAGAAGCACCGGGTTCCGGTTGTGCCGTACTCGGGAGGCACCAGCATGGAAGGCCACACGACCGGAGTATGTGCCATGCGCCCATGTTCAAGTCCGACTTTCGCTGACGACGTGCTTCAGACGATGCATGGTAGCATATGCGTTGACATGTCGCAGATGAACAAGATCATCGAGATACACGGTGAGTGATGACTGAATCTAGTTGCGGAGATAGGTATTGACTGGTTGCCCAGAGGCAGACTCGGACGTCGTAGTCCAGCCAGGGTTAGGGTGGATGGCCCTGAACGACGAGTTGAACGAAAAGGGGATCCCGCTCTTCTTCCCGGTAAGGTGCCTGAGTCTTCTTGGAACCCGAGGATTCGCTCGCTCATCGCCGCCTACAGCTTGATCCAGGCCCAGATGCGACACTGGGAGGCATGTTTAGTACTGGATGCTCAGGAAGTGCGTTGCATGTCCTTGAGCCCGACTTCTTTGAACTGATCGTGGGCAGCCAATGCTGTTAGATACGGTACAGCTCGAGCAGAATGGTTTCTCAACGCTGTGCGTTCCTCGCCGACTCAACATACTGCACATGCTGACGCTGTCTGGGGCATACAGACCATCGCGCTACCTTCTGGTGAAGTCATCAAGACCAGGCGACGCTCACGCAAGTCATCTGCTGGCTGGGATGTGACAAAACTCTTCATTGGCGCAGAAGGGACGCTCGGGATCGTAACAGAGCGTATGTCGGGGTCACCTCACCATTTTTGATCACTTTTGAGTAACCTCTCAACAGTCACTGTTCGCTTGGCTCCTGTGCTACCCACAGGTGTCGGGATTGTCAGCTTCCCGAACGTTCGCAAGGCTTGCGATGCGGTGAATGAATTACTGAGCCGTGGTGTTGGCATGCGTACGTCGTCGAATTTCAGACTCTCCTCAAGTCCTCAGTCTGAGTTCATACACAGAATGTATCGAACTACTGGATGCCTACCAGATGCGCGCTCTCAACAATTATCACGCCTCTTCGGACAAGTACGCGATCGCCGATCACCTATTCCTCAAGCTTCAAGGTGCAACTCTCGGCGCTGTCGCAGAATCAGAAGCACTCGCTCGTGAAATTACTGCGAAGCATGGCGGCGAGAACTGGATATCCGCGAGAGGTGACGAGGCGCAAAGCATGTGGGATGATAGGAAGATCGCCCCCTACGCAAGTGCGAAGTTGTATGGTACTCCCGGGGCGAAAGCCTGGGCAACAGATGTATGGTGTGTATCCTTACGTTCCAAACATGACGTTTCGCTCATGGCTTCATGGCAGTGTTCCCATCTCGAAGCTCCCTCAGCTCGTAGAAGAGGTTAGGGAAGATATGGACAAAGCCGGCGTCTTCGGTACCATCCTAGGTCATGCGGGAGACGGTACGTCACCGCTCATTCGCCTGTGCGCCTTCGTGTCTTTGACAGTGCGCCGGTGTTGCAGGTAACTTCCACGCCGGAATCTTTTACAGCACTCCAGAGGAAGAGAAGGCCGCAAGAGAAGTCGTGCACAGGATGGTCAAGCGTGCGCTCGCCCTCGACGGAACATGTGAGACTGAACCTCACCTTCCATCCGAGATGCTCAACGACTTCGTAGGCACAGGAGAGCACGGAGTCGGGATTGGCAAGCGCGAATACTTGGTCGAAGAGCTCGGCCCTGGAACAGTGCGATTATTGAAGACCGTCAAGCGTACACTGGACCCCTTAGGGATAATGAATCCAGGAAAGGTGAGTCGCAGGACTTCACGATCGTACACTATACTCATCCGAGTACGGTTATATCCGGATGATTGATAAGTCCTTGCGGTAGTGGACACTCGCCCGGGCTCTTCGAGCAAGGTCATTACTTCTAGATCGTCCGTGTGTCGCACAGCCACCTATGATCCCTAAGCATATGCGGAACGTACAAGCTGCGCATATCTACAGCTACTTCTCTGGGCGGTTGCGCCCCAGATACTATGACCTGCGGATAAGGTGTTAACCTGAGTTCCCTGTAAGAAGCATCTGGTGAAGATGGAGAAAAACACTGGTTCTGAAGACCAGCAGAGGCATGGTCATCGGACCCAGCTACAGTACTAGTGCCCTGCGTCCCCTTTGTAGCCATAACCGCGCGATTGAGTCAGCCTCGACGGTGTGCGCGGGGATGCTCGGAGCTCCGGCCCGCTTCGCCTAAAATCGCCGTCCGCCGTCATGCGCCTTACAAGCGACTATCATGGCGTCGGATAGTGTCGAATCGCCCAACGCCGTGCCATCGTTTGCCGATAGGTACGATTATCGTTTCTTCCGTGAAACTTAGTAGTGATCATGATCTCGTATAGCGTCACGGCACATTGGTCGAGAGCGTATCAACCGCGCGTGGAATTCTATAGGTCTATCCTAAACAACCAGCATAGCTCGAGGAAGGCTCCATCTGAAGCTCTGAGGCAGATGCGCGAAGAATCGATTATCATCAAGGCGCAGCATGCTCTTCTACACGAGTGTCATAATGCGCTACTTCCCGTGTCGAGGCTCGCCCCGGAGTTGCTATCACACGTCTTTCACTTCCTCGCTCAAGACCTACCTCTCGTGCCAGATGAAGCAGAGAAACTGGATCGCGCAATATATATGCGGCGACGTGAGAGAAACGCGAACTCTCATCCCCTACGCAGATCCTGGACAAAAGTCCTCTTCGTCTCACGACACTTTCGGCGCACGGCGCTCGGCGATCCATCCCTTTGGCCCACCATTACAACAGCTCTAGGGCAAGAGTGGATGGCCAAGCTCATAGATTTCAGCGGATCATCCCTTGTTACTTTTCACCTCGGTGCACGTTATGACGGCATGAAGAAGGCTACAAAAGCTGCGCTGCTCAAAACCATCAGTCGAGTTCGTGGTCTGCAAATCACAAGCGATTCTAAAGGGCTCCGTGCTCTCAGACTATCATCTATCGAACTACCAGAGCTTCACCAGATCCGCTTTCACATGGAGGCCGACGAGGAAGACGCCAATACGGATAGCGAAGATACGGTGCCAACATGGGACCCTACTGCCCTCGCTCAAGTGAATGCACCGGCTCTCCGAAAGCTCTCGATCCATGGCTTTGGCGACTTCCCTTGGGCATCCAACCTTCTTCAACACCACCTTACTACGCTGCACATTGGCATCGACCTCGAACCGTCCTATGATCACGTCGAGTTCCCCTCTCTCAGAGCAATGCTCTCCGCGTTATCTAGGCTCTCCAGTCTCACGACGCTGTCTCTGAAGCGATGCAAAGTGAAAGTGATTGAATCCGCATTGGCGGTCGCCTGTCTGCCGCTTTTGCGCACACTTCGGCTTGAAGATTGCTCTTACATGCTCGTCGCATACACGTTCGCCCACCTTCAGGTCCCACAGGAGGCGAAGCTTTACTTTTCTACGGACATCAATCGGTTCAACGATCGGACAAGCCCCCACATGGCGCATAACCTCCAGATGTCCCAATCGTTCTTCAGAACTCTCCAAGAACACCTCGCTACCCCGTTTTGGCAAGATCTGCGCACCGTCGAGCTCATGACCATGCCTGAGGCGTATCCGGAGATGTACTCTACGGATGATTCGGTCGAGAAGGACGACTACAGCGACTACGACGATATCGACAAGCAATGCTTTGTCATGAACGCGTGGAGGCAGGACGACTCACGCATTGTCTGCGCTGATTGCGAGCGTGTACCGCGGCGAAAGAAGGGTTACTTCGATACACCCTTTGACTACGTACGCTACGAAAGACCGGAGCCGGATCTCACCATCTCGATCTATCACGGCCGGGAGTCCTTCAAGTTCGCCGACGAGTGCCTGCGTCTCTTTGAACACTCTCCTTCCGTCAGGACGCTGTCGTTGCGTCCGGACCACAAGACCTGGACGCTCGGAGGCTGGCCAAAGTCGCTCGACAGTTTCACAAACGTGTCCTTCCTTAGGGTGGACGGTGTCCTCGGACAAGTCATTCTTCAAAGGCTGTATGAAAGGGGAATAGCTTCGCAAGGGACGGGCGGATCCGGCGCGAAGCCGCCACAGGTTCTTCCTCGGCTGAAAAGTCTAGCTCTATTGCGCGATGGGGAGCATGTACGGTGGCGAACGCGTCCCGACATTCCGGGCTTTGGTGACCGCCTACAGTTGTTGGCGGCGGTCTGGAAGCTTCGCGCTGAGAGCGGAGCGTCACTTCAGGAGGTCGCCCTTGACGAGCGACGCTGTGCACTATCGCACTTTCAGTCCCTCCGCAAGACGGTGAACATCCGCGCCATTCACTTGTGGGACTTTGGATCTTACGAGCCGATACTTAGCGAAGAGGAGGACGAAGAAAGCGAAGAAGAGGATGAGGATGATTACGATGGACATACGTACTTCTAGCGTCCGGAGTTCTGTGATTTATGGGTACTACTGCTTGATTCTCAGTGTATAGGAACGCCGAACGAGGCTTGTCGTTCGACACGTAAGTATGTCGGCCGCGACTAGGAAATATATTTCGAGGATGCATGAGCCACATCTCAGCAAGCGCATTTTGGAGTACTCCACACGCTTTATTGAACGTTGTTTCGACGCACTAGTACAGAGGCAAGATGCCAGATGCATGCGCTTTGCCGGCGAGTCTGGCAGCAAGTCGCGCGTGTTCGGCAATCGGCCCAATTTACAATATCTTAGGCGAGCGACAGCAGTGCTGAACCCTCGGTATGGAAGGTGATGCAATGTCTCGATGATACCGCATGCCCTACAGCGGCGCTATTCATACATAATCGAAGATGACTAGTGACGCCAATGAAACGACTCGACTGTTTCCCAGGGGGCCGAGGCGATCCTTCTGATTTAGTATGCGAATGTATCTTGCATACGGCCGGACACAGGTCCAACTTTGACGCTTCTATATCGAGGTAATCAGACATACTGCTACATGCATCGGCTGCCTCGCTTACATTAGCCCCCCCTTGGCGTCGCTGTCCTTCGAGAGCTTTCCGCCTGTTTCTGGCACTTCGTCATGCGAGAGAGCATGCATCCCAAGTTGAAGGGCGTCCCTTGAAAGCTCAGCATCGCCGCGCGAGATGTCTGAGGCAGCACTGATGAGTATGCGGCTCGAGCCTGTGTGAGTGGGTAGGTTGAGGTTTGATAGGGTGATGGCGTTGGTGGTAATGCCCCGCAGGTGGTCTCGATTATTGAGGCTACACGATGAGAGTAAGAAGCATACGTGGCACCGTCTGGTGGCACTCACGAGCACATCACAGAGGCTGAGTACACTATGTTGTGCAAGTTAGTCACAGCCATCATGCTGGGAACCATGAGATCACCTCGTGCGAGACAGGAGATGAAGGGGCTGAAGTAGAGGGCTGACGGGATGGTTGTCCACTGCATAGCATGCGCTTTGCTCGAGAACTAGTGTATATAAGGAATGATTATATGCTTACCAATGCTATGATGGGGACTATGCAGAAACTGGTATCTCAGTCAGTTCTCTTCCGAATATCTCAACGTCGAGCGCGAATGAACCTACACCTCAAGTAGACCTACAGCCAGGGCACGGGACGTAAGACGCAACAATCATCTTATAGTGCAAGTCACCCTTACACGTGCTCACAACGTACTTGATGGCGAGATAGATGACACGCCGCGTGCTAGATACAGTGATGAGGTGAGCAAGACGCCTAGTTGAATGTGGGAGCACTGACGAAGTAATCTCGCTCCGACTTGCTTTGAAGCTGAGATAGTATATAGTAGATGCGGCGATTGTGCAATCCGCGACTAGCTCGAGGCCGAACAAACTAATAACATAGGGCTGTCGGTGGGCTCAGAACGTCTCGAATGAGGACAGGTAGACACGGCCCACGAAGTCGCTTGAACCACCAGTGAAACGCTTGAAGCTCAGTCTTGGGTTGGACGTCAACGACTTTCCTGAGCGAGTTGAATGCGACTCACGATACGTCGGCGTAGACTGCTGAATAGTGAGTCACAGAAGCCAGAGATGAAGAAGCACTTACCCAGACCGACAGCTTGAGTTCGTCAGCGCATCTATTGAGCGTGTATCGGAGACACTCAGATGACTGTATCCCTCACCAAATTGGGCGAGCGATAGCACAACCTATTGATACAAGTGAGCGGTCATCCGCACCATGTCGTTGCTACGCGCACCACAAACAGTGGCAGAATGGGTCTCCGTCCATTCACTTGGATGCCTTTAGATCCGTACTTCGTGTAAGACAGAGAAATGGGCCCTCACGAATGTAAACCCGATGAGCGAAGAAACTGCAGCGGGGTTCATCATTTTTCAATCGATATGAGCGATCTCCGACGTACCATTGCACTAGAAGAGCCACGAATGCCTGTGAAAGTCATCAACGATAGTCGAGGGCACCCAAAGTTGGCATCGTACGCTTACGCCAACCTCAACCTACACTCTAGACTCAGTAATCAGAGCCCTCCGGAAGGGTCATAGGGCTCACAAGAATGCTCCTGTAGAGCTGATAAGCAGAGGCGTCTCGAGCTACAGCCGTGTGACGTACCATGGCGTACCACTGTGTAAGAGAACATCGTAGTTGCCGAAGTTTGTCACGGTGTAGTAATAGATGCCATGGTTGAGAAGGATGCAGGTTAGCGTTTCCATGGCCCTATATCCGACGAAGGTTTACTGATCGTCCATCCTCGCGAATCGCGGTTTGCGTACCATAGTAGCATGATCTACACCTTGCGTGAGCATGATCATAAGAAGGAAAGGTATCTTCCCTTACGAAGCTCTTCAGAAACCACCCATCGCGCTTGCAGTGCTCAGTGAGGTATAGAAACGTTTGCATGCAGTTAACTCCATAGAGTCTGTCGAAAGATGAGTATGTAACGCTCTGTGTACGACAGTTGGCTTACATGCTAGAAATGACAACCCCGATAGCCAAAGCGCCTAGTGTGTTATCCAGAGGGACGAGGGAAGGCATAGTGATCGACTGGGCGGCACTGACACCGTCAGCTAGTGGAGACTTATGTGCATGGCGAGTGGCGTATGAGCGGCGCATCTACGAGCCGCACACATACCCGGGTGAACCAACAGGGAAGGTGGCGGACCATGGACGGAGGTACCAACTCTGTGGGCATGTCGGAGATAAGGTCTACGACAACCTCTGTATGTCTGGAACGGCCCGCTGTCCTCAGGGATCAACACTAGTGGCCACAGGCAGTTGTTGGCCGGCTGAAGCATTGCTACGTACAGAGTATGACTACCTAATTCGAGTCAAAGAGGTTCCTAAAGCGGAGTAGGCATGGGTAGGCATACCTTAAGTGCGTCTAGTGCTGTTCGCGGTCGCAGCAAGAACGACAACCGGCGCAAAGCACTCCGGGTGCCCTGCAGGGCGTATCTGTCGGATATCTGAGAGTTCGCTGCGCGACAGGCATCGCACAGGATTCGGCACTGACAATTTGGCGAACCCGCATAGTAGCCGCTTCGCTCTCAGGGCTCCGAGGAAACTGTTCAACTGGCCTCCAGCGAGCATTGCGCCCATTGCCGCGTTGCGCTGGTGAGCGTGGCAGTAGACGAGGGTTCTTGAATATAGTTGTTAAACATAGGGCAGGCGGCGTTGAACGTTGCGCAAGGATCGTCCAAGTTGGTTGGGCTAGCTCGCGGCGACTCTACAAGGCTTGATGAGCTTGTCGATAGAACCAGTCGGTCATCAGCCTGAATTCACGAAGAGCGCGCAAATACTAGAGCTTGAGCTTCAAAGACATCGTGGTTCATATTTTCGCCCAACCTGCGTAGAGGGATTCCATCCAGTGCAATGGCAGGAGGCAAGCACCGACGACGCGCTTGGGAAGGGTCGCGTGCCCGGGACTCCGGCCCGCGTGTTGATCCGGTTACTTAAGAGCGTCATGCACGCCACTCGGTTTGCCCAACGCGGCCATCGTGTGCAGTTCCCTCAGCCTCAGGCATCGACTGCGACTATATTCGGCCAAGAGCCACTTAATCTAGCGCAAGACGAGGGTGGCAATGCTATTCTGGTGTATCAGCGCCCGTCGAACCTTCACGAGTCTCTGCGGAGAATACTTCTCTGGGCTACTTACAGCCCAGTTCGCTTTTTGCGATTTCGTCATTGTCAGTGAAGGGTCAGCACGGAAACGACAACTAACAGGCATGCATACACTTCGCTGGATCTGCTATTCATCCTGCCAGGCTTCGCCTTAGGGCTCCCATCTGATGACGACCTGTTCTCCCATTGCCATTGTGGCGTGCGTCTTTCCTGACACTGATCCTTCAGGGATAGGGTTCGCCGAGCGCGATGCGCATCAACGGGAGATGCACATACACGTTTTACGATCCGCAGATCCCATGTTATCTCAACTATACGCCGAGGAGGCCGTTCGTTCGTCCACCCCATCTCCGGAAGTCTCGGGAAGCGACACACGCTTGAATCGACGTACCTCATACTACGCCATCTTACATGCGGATCCGGGTTTATCACCATGGTTTATCGAATGTCCCTATCTACCTTCGTGCGTGAGTCGGAGCCGGTTATGACCCCTTCGTGCATGCAACTCTTGGCCGGAGGGATGGTGCTAGGACTGATATCGTACGTCACTCGACTCAGGCGATGGACTTCTCTGGATGCCGGTTGTTAGGTATATGTTTGGCTATCGAGCTTCCCCGCTAGCGTTTGCCCCTCCCCCCACCCGCGATTTCTGTATATCAGGCAAGGGTGTGATCATGAATCATGGGCAGCTTGGTGAGCCTCCGGGTCGACTAACACGAGCACTCTAGTTGACTTCTGCGATAGCTGCTCTACACGTCGTTACCTTGATACCCTCTGGTATCTACATGTGCGCTGTTTTTCAATTGGTCATCTGCTGCTTGCCCCTGACTCCCAAACCTGTATGCAGCCACGAGTTCATCACACATCTGGATTTCGATTGGGAGCTGATTACCCGTCGGTTCGAGGTGCGACGGGCTTTCGTTGCGCGCACAGCTAAATGGGTGCGCACTCGCTATATCGATACAGAGGTTTGGCTTCGCTAAACTGACCCGCAAGTAGATATACCTGGCATGTCGAGTTCTCGTACTCGGCTACACTATAGGTGCCATCATTGCGTTATCGTTCCCTGAGGCCTTAGTCTCTGGACGATTGATCTGTCGAGTGAGAGAGGACTGTATGCATCGCGGGTATAACACTGACGCGCCGCAGATCCCAGTCAAACTTGCCGCCGTACGATGTCATTAAAGCCAGGTTTGGCCCTCGCACTGATGGTGTCAATCATGACGTAGGTGACAGGGCCTCTAGGAGTCATGTGCTCTTCTATGCTGTTATCCATTCGCGTGTGCGCATTCCATCGAGCTCGCATACCACTACATTTTGACGATGAAGTCTTGATTCCTCCAGAGGCGCTATCTGGGGCTGGAAGAGGCCGATCGTAATTCTTCTCGCTATACTGTTACTAGCCCTTTTTGCCCTGGACATTGACGGTAAGTGCTGGACGAGGAGCACGACTTCGGTGACTAAAGCAGTCCAATGCAGACATGGTCAAGGTATGTGCGTCCTTCGCAACCGTCGATATCAATACGATGGCATGACCAGTTGCAAAGATAGACCCCATGTACCAGGAGGTAACCCACAGCTGCTCTTTGAATACCATACAAGAAAACATGGTCCCGTCAACTGTGGGGCTTGTCGTCGACATTACACTCATTAGCTTTCTTCTTGTGGGATTGCAAGGCCAATGGGGTGACGCTCGTCGATATGCCCTCTGGCACATGCTATGGAACCAGGTGAAGCGATCTCGATGAGATGTAGGTTGGGCGCATGGTAACCTAGCTGAAGGGCGTGTTCTATCTGGTGTTGTCCCTCTCTATCAGGCTCCCCCTGGTGGTATGTGCGCCCCGATATTCCATGACCTCTCAAAGGCTCACCGAGAAGACCAGATCCTACAGGGGCTCGATATTAGCCGTACGTTTCACACTCGTTCTGGATCAAGATCCCAACTGCACCTGACATGAGCTGCCCAGCCGCCCTAACCACGGTAAGCGATTCCGTAATACAGCCGTTCCAGTCCGCTAATACTCGGCTCCCAAGCTTCTTGTTGTACCCGATGGTGAGGATATCTCGACATTCGCCCTGATGAATACTGTGCGCTGATCTCACGGTCATATCAGTTGTCGCTTTGTGCGTCCCCTTCGGTGTCTGATTGCTGATCTCTGACTCACGATTGAACAGATCCATGGGCGCAACACGGTTGTTTAGGTCGCTGAACGCAATAATACGAGGGACTAAAGGGAATGCAGGGTATGTCTCAGCCCCTTGCGTGGTCTATCTTCTCATATACTTGACAGACATTTCTCGGAGGGTTTATTCACCGGGGACAGCGATCAACCTCAAGAGAGTGTCGAACTCGAAACCATGCTAGTCCATGAAAGCTGACTGTTTATTCCGGTTCACTGGAACGACGAAATACCATGCAATGCGACTCGGAATCTCGTTGAGGCAGCTTTCACCAGCACTTTCTATTCTGCGAGGCACATCTTCCGTTCGCTCACGATCGTACCGCGCAGCCAGCGCCTGCAGAGTATATTGCCGGCCATATGTTCGTCGGCCAAGTCGGTGTATCAACTGTGCTTCCTATCATTACGAGTCGTACAATGACGGAACCCGCCGCCTAAGCAGAAGGAAAGGGGATAAGTACCGGCGTAAGATATTGTTTGTCGTTGTGCTAGTCGCGATGGTGGCGGAGCGCGCCCTGTTTGGCAGATGCCCGCGCGGTGATCACCGTGGGAGGAGAGCCGCCAGCGCGCGTCGACGCGCGACGAATTGCCCGACAATGCTTGTTTCGCACCCTCATGGACATGAACGTGGTTACCCAGTTCTCCGGAGGACCAATGCTCCTTTTACAGCACAGTCTACTATATAGAAAAATGGCCATATCCTTGTCCTCCTTCTCCCAGTTCACTCCAGTCTTTTCCCGAGAGAAAGTCTGATCATGTCTCTTCCGTCCTTCTCCGAAGCCTGGCTTGATGGCCCATTGTCCACCAGGATCTATACCCGTCTCTACAAGCCCTCACTCTCCGTTGCGCCTCGCGCTGTGATGGTCTTTCTTCATGGCTATCTTGAGCATGTCGGTCGATACGAGGCAGCACACACTCGCTGGGCTTCGCAAGGCGTGGCCGTTTTTACCTACGATGCCCGAGGTTTTGGTAGGACAGCCCTTGACGAGCGTAAGAGCGCTGGAAGCGAGTATGGACGCACGGGAGGAGCAACGGAGAGGATGCTCGACCTAGAGTGGGCCCTCAGGCGTGCGCGGGCTGAGGTGCCGGACGTACCTCTCTTTCTCGTGGGACATTCCATGGTGCGTCTCTTGTTCAGCTGATGGTTCGCTTGAATGAACACCTTAATCTAGGGAGGTGGACTTGCACTGAACTTTGTAACTCGCTCTCAGTCTCCTCCGTCCCAGGAGACGGTCGGATTACTTTCGGGTATCATCGCCTCGTCCCCCTTGGTCCGCGTGGTTCGCAGGGCGCCTTCGCCCATAGTCTTCAAAGTCCTCTCCTTCGTCTGCAACTACTTCCCCAACATGAAACACAGCACCCCAGTACAAGTAGAGGTACGCCATTGGTTATGGGTCTGGGGATCTATTTGACCACGAGTTTTCAGGATCTCTCGCACGACCCCGACGTCGGTCCGAACAGCGTGAAAGACCCTTGGATCAGGCAATATGGTTCACTGGAAGGTTTGACTGACCTTCTCAACCGAGTACCTGGTGTATTGCAGTCATTTGAACGTGTATGCTGATGCATAGCCAGGGCGAACTACTGCTCACTGAAGGGTATCATAACTGGCCCCAGCATGTACCGGTAAGCCCGACGATCCTCAGACGAAGCCAATTGTAACACAATTCCCAAGGTGTTAATCCTTCATGGCGATGAGGACAGAGTGAGCTGTGCGATCTCTATCGTCGTGTATCAACGTCTGACAATTCACATAGGCCAATAGTTTCTCCGCTAGCAAGGAATTGTTCGAGACGTTACAAGCGCCCGATAAAGAGTTCGTGGCATATCCGGTGCGCTCTTCTCTTAACGGCGCGTTCCTTCTCTGATCGAGCTCAGGGTATGTGGCATGACCTGATGACTGAACCGGACATCAAGGAACAGTACTTCCAAGACTGTCATTCATGGTTAGCTAGACGCACTTCTACTTGATGTTACAGTTGTGGATGTGTTTGCGCCGGTAGAGCAAAGTCGAGCGGGGCATAAGTATGCGCTCATGTCCCTTAAAGCCCTTGCCAAGTACCCCTTCCCAGAACGCTATCCAAATACCTACATGGCCCGCGCCTATGACTTACGCGCGCCTCAGGTATTGCGCGCGATGAGCAAGCATGCCGGTCAGATCGTGGCCGGTTGACAAAGTACATTGAAGTTGCAATCCGCTCTGCCATCGAGGTCGTGTTTTGCTACATTTACATCCACTTCTTCCACCCACTTGCATCCCATGCCTTCTCAAACTCCTCCTCCGAAAAGCGCGCAACAGCCGAAGCGCGACCACGCTCGCGCATTGCCAACGCCTCCGCGTCGGAGAGGGACAAGGCGTTATGGAGAGCTTGCGCGAACTCGCCGACGTCTTTTGCGTGAAAGCCTGTGGGTTCACCGTCGACGGGGACGACGATGTCAAGCAGTGGCCCAGCCGAGGCATGTGCGACGGGAATCACACCGGCAGCCTGAGCGAGCGATAGTAAGCACAGAACGAAGCATGAGATAATGAGGAAAACTCGCCATGAATTCGACGACGTTGATGCCGAAGTGTTCGTCGACCATAGTGCTCAAACCAATACTAGCGCGCCTGAGGTAGGCAAGCATATCGGGATAGCTCGCGTTGAGCAAGAACTCGACGTGCTCCTGTTTTGCGGTCAGAACGCGGATCAAGTCCGAACGTATGAGCACGTACAGAAACGTCCAGCTCCTTAGCGAGCGCCTTGAGGCACTCAACTCGTGCCGCATCCCCATCATTGCGGACACCACCAATCAGAACAAAGCGTACGTCTTTGTACTCGGGGTGCTCTTGCAGTAAAGCGTCAATGGCGCGAATCTGTGTGGCATGGTCCTTCTCCGGTCTAAAGCACGGCAATCAGCCGACGCCGGCATCAGGTATGATAGGATCGTCTTACCTGAACTGGGCGAGGCTGACGACCAATCGTTCGCGGTTCTCGAGCGTGAAACCAGACATGGTTCGAGTATCGCATGGCGGGTAGACTCGCGTGGCATCCTGGGGCGTGGCAGGCGTATGCTCGCTCATTTTAGGCAACCAGAAGTTCGCGGCGTACGCAAAGGGCTCGGCAATGGTTTCCGCGAGATTAGCAACACCGTCAAAGAGCCCGTCTTCATGTTTCAGAATGTTGTCGACATGGTTCTTTGTCCAAGTCGAGTTCGCCATGATGAATGAGGCGCGACGGAGCGCCCGCGAGTACAGCCACATGAACACGCGGTAGTAACTGTGATTACTACTTTAGCGCGGCGCGTTGGAATCAAGGCGAGATAGACGTACAAGAGTTTGCCGGCGCTGAGTGCGGCTGAATTGGCGATGGCGTCAGAGTTGGTGACGCCCTCCTGGCGGCCCTGGACGCGAGCGAGCATATCCGTGCTGATTGTCGGATAGTGCACGTAGGCTCCGACGGGAACGCCGGCGAGGCTTGCCGCAATGTGAAAGGTAAAGGCGTATCCCATTGTGTCTATGAACAGATCCGGGATAACAGAACTCAATGCCTCCCAGGCGAGATACATGGAGCCAAGACTTTGGCCGAGAAGCGTGAAGCGGTGCCATGAGGCGTCCTCGATGTAGCGGCGCGACTTCAGAAATACGAAATGAAGGGTGTCGGGGTCAAGGATAATGTCTAGGCGTGCCTTCAGATGTCATGAGTACGGCGCACTGAAAGATTGAGTTGGACACGAGTACCTTCACTTTAGCGATGATCTCCTCCTTAGTCGCGTCAACGTCGCCGCTATACACCACGTTCACAATACTCGGCTCCGTGCGTTGTATATGGGCGATAGCCGTCCATAACACGCGCTCGCCGCCGCCTCCGGCATTGCTGAAAGCCTGATCGCATCAGACATTCTACGATTCTAAGGTCATGCATGGATGTGCGCTTACCAGTAAGGGTGAAAGAAGCCGACAAGTTTCTTTCCAGATAGGGTTTCTAGCTTGAGAGCCGTTTCTACGCCGGCGCGCTTATTGCCCCTTGACGCACGAAGTTTATACGCGAGGTAGGTGTAGACAAGCGTCAAAGGGATGAAGATATACAGCAAGATGGGCGTGACGATTCGGAAGCGAGCCATGTTCGTGCGACTGCCAGAACAGAGCCGTTTGGACCGTTATGTCAGACAACCCTACAGTCCAGAATCAGAAATAAATAGACTGCAGGCGTCGTGGCTGTTCGCGGTCAAGTTGAGACGTGTGAACGATAAGACGCGAGGCGCGGAGGCGTGTCGGCTACGGCGTGCGCCTAGTTGCTTTCGACCACCATGTCCCCCCCATGCGACGCTCGTCAATTCATACCTTACGTCGTCCATATCTCCGGCGGGCGCAATGCTCTTCCTTTGTAGTGTAAGATTCTGCGCGACTCTCCGGCAGGTCTATTGGGCGCAACGCCCTTCTTTTCCTGCGTTCGACGATCGTGCACGGTGCAAACCGCGCTCCCAGCGGGCGCGGTGCCCTTGATCACACGTGAATCTGGCTCGCTTAACCTGACCGCAAGTGATGTCTGCGTCTTGCGTATAAAGCTTTGGCGCTTTGTCGTGCTCGAGGACGACCTGCACCCCCTCAGCTCGTCATGACTGAGTTCGATTCCATCTCCGCCTCAATGAAGCTATCCACGTGCCCTGATATTTCGTACCCCATTGTCGCTCAGCTTCTTTCTGCGCCATCCGTTACAATAGTCCGCGTTCGAATATACGGCGAAACGACCGTCTACAGTCTGCCGAGATGCGCGTACTACAACGTGAGCGCTTGTTAGGCACGGACAGCGAGCACGCCGCTCACGATCCATGAGCAGCACATGCTTTCTACCATCCGACGCGCTTTGCGCGGTGTTCTGCAAGGCAATCCTGATATACATCTACTGAACTCTGCAGACCATGTTGTCCTCACGAAGGCGTCGTGGCCTTTCATCGTCAACAGCCTATATGAGATCGTTGTGAGAGTCTCAAGTAAGCCTTGATTATCCATTATTTCACTGTGCCGCTCATGATCCATAAGGGCCGCAACCTATTCTCGGCGACGTCATCGACCTCACCCAGGACGTAGAAGACGAAACCCCAGTACAGCCGCGACATGGTGGCGAAGTACGCCCACCCCGAGCGCCGCCTTCTACCTCCTTCGACGTCGATGTGGACGGCGTCGCAGATGAGGAGGGACAACACTATCAACCGGTCCGCCATACGGTACGCGTTCGCGGAGCATCGATCCTCCCGCACGTCAGAAAGAAGACGGTACGTCGTGTGTCTTTCATATTCGCCTCTCTAGCCTCACAGCTTGGCCAGAACGCCACGAGGCGCAGCATGTCTCGATCAGTCCCCTCCGTCGTATTGTCCAATCAGCCTGTCGGGTTCCCGAAACTTCATCAACACCTGGAGCTAGAACGAGACCACAAGGCCATGAATCATTGGGTCGTCCCGCCCAAAAGCAAGCATCGCGCGGTACGCGCCTGGCTTGACAACCCTGCCCGCTTCAAACGCACTTTACCATCGGAAGATCGTCAATGGCTCGGACGTAACAATGTTCGCGGCAAAGGTGAGCGCAAGCTCATCGACGATGGGCCCGAGCTCTACAACCTCCTTGTACGCGCTCACGGGAAGAACCACCTCAAGTCCGAGCGGACGTTCGAGAGGATACGGCAACGCTACGTCGGCCCTCCGCGCGGCTTCGTCGAGCGTTGGGTGGCACTTTGCCCGACGTGCCGCCGCAAGAGCCGCAAGCACCGTGAGCGGAGTTATGATTCATGATCGTTTGTGGCGTTTGGTACATTGTTTATTCGGACTGCTCTCTTGTTACGAATACTCCCTATGTTGTATGCATGTTGTATGGATGACCATGTACTTCTTGTTCTGCGATAAGGTACTCGCCATCGGTTAGCGCCGCCTCGTTACCAAGAGACTTGCAAGACGCTCGATATGACTTCACATTCTGTACCTTCGGTCGTACTCAGGAATCGGAAGATATACTATTGGGCTACAAGTGTATGACAAGCAAGATATACAGATAAACAAGATCAGCTCTACAATGCGGACACGTTTCGTTGCTTTTCTACTCCATGCTACCGACCTCATTCCTTCCGTAGAGAGCCTCGTGTCTTGCCTCGACTTCGTTTTGGACAGCCTCGATGGACTTGAAGTACTTGACGGTCTTGACGTGTAGCTCTACATCAAGATCAGCCGCTGTTTCAATAGAGTGCGTTGGTGTGGACTCACCGGCAGTTGCATCCTCGTCAACGACGATGAGCGAATGAGGGTGCATCTGGAGCGCCGAGAGCGTCCAGAGATGGTTGACGCCCTCCTCAATCGCCTTGCTGAGAGCAAGGGCTTTACGCTGGCCGGAAACCACAACGACAACCTCCCTGCTGTCGAGGACAGTGCCAACACCGACGGTAAGAGCCATGCGGGGAACAGCGTCAATGTCGTTGTTGAAGAAGCGCGCGTTGGCGAGGATCGTGTCGTACGCCAACGTCTTGATACGCGTACGCGAAGCAAGAGAGGACCCAGGCTCGTTGAATGCGATGTGGCCATCCTCGCCAATACCGCCCAAGAAGAGCTCGATGCCGCCAGCGGCCTTGATCTTCTCCTCGTACGCCTTGCACTCGCCGATAAGATCTTCAACCGTACCGTTTAGGATGTTCACGTTCTTGGGATCGATGTCGACTGGTTTGGCAAACGTTAAGCCTATATAAGCAGATCTACGAACGTGACCACGTACTGTGCGAGAAGAACTCCCGGAACATGAACGTGTGGTAGGATTCGGGATGGTCCCGCGGCAGTCCGACGTACTCGTCCATGTTGAAGGTGACGACATTCTTGAAGCTATCTAGAGGGTTAGATACTGGCATGCTCTCCAGGATTGAGATACTGACGAGAGCTTGCCCGCCTTCACCAGCGCGATCAACGCCTTGTACGTCGGGATAGGAGAGGAACCAGTGGGTAGACCAAGCACGAAGGGCTTCTCGGGAGTCGGGCCGAAGTTCTTGATGCTAACCGCGATGGGCGCGTTCAGCGTCTTTCCGCACATACTGGAAGTAGCATCGCGCTACTCACCGCTTGGCGATATAGTTGGCGATGTACTCGCCCACAGCTTTGGAGTCGTCACGGATAATGAGACCTAGGCGCGATAGCGATGAGCACGGCGACAACGCGCGCGTACGTCATCGACGTACGCATATCGATAGCGGAGGGAGACGATTAGAGCAAGCTGGGGATGGTGGACGTCGCGGTCAAAAGGCTCTCCTTGCGTTCCGGTTGGGTTCATAAGGCTCGGTGTAGAGGGTAGACCATGTGGAACGTCGAACGTGCAGAGTGCACTCCCCGGCGGCCAGCGGGCCAGCAGCATATGGGTGCCCGGACCTCAGCGCGTGGGTACTGCGGCATCTACTGGCATGGACCCTCTAGATGTAGGTGTGCAGCATGCACACTTGCCCTGTTGATTACTCTAGACTTGTCCGCTGCTGGTCGTTCCTCGCGGACAGACAAAGGTTGGGCCAGATGTCCGAGTCACCGCCGCTTGTCGCCCGGGGATCCATGTGTACCATCCGCTTTTTTACTTTGCGCCCACGTACCCCGTCGGCGCCGTGCACCGAAGAACATTCCTGAGATCGCCGCCGCGCGACGAGCGATACAGACGGCTGGAGGAGCGTGCATAAGTAGAGTACATTGTGAATGCCTAAACAGGAATGTATACAGATACAGTCAGAATTGTACAACAGCTATACCATCGTCACTCCTGAGATTACGCTTTGGCCTCACATCGTGATCAAGCTTCAAGCCTGCCACTTTATCATGGCCTCTTCGCGCTTACCCCATATCTCTTCCACGCTCTTGTAACCGCATAATCCAAGCGTGATCTCCGTATCAGCGAGCAGTCCGCGGAGGACCTCCTCCACACCCTGCTGACCTGAGATCGCAAGCGCGTACATGAAAGGTCGAGCAACTGCAATATAGTCAACATCTGAAGCGAAGGAGATACGCGTGTGCACACGCACCCAAAACGGCCTGCGCGCCCATAGCAAGAGCTTTGACGACGTCCGCGCCAGTACGAATGCCGGAGTCGAATAGGACCGTGAACTTGCCAGCCTGTTGAGCTTGCTTGACGCGCTCGTCCGCAGTTATATGCTCCAGCGCGAGGAACGACGGAATGGCGCCGTCCACTTGACGTCCGCCGTGGTTGGACACGACAATGCCGTCCACGCCAGCATCCATAGCGGCATGGGCATCCGCGACCGACAAGATACCCTTCAAGACGAGCGGGCCCTCCCAGTTGTCGCGGAGGAACTTCAGATCGGACCAAGTCCTGAACTTGCCTGAGCTAGCCTCTTTGATCCACTCCTGGCCGATATAGGCAGCGCGCTTAGCGGTTTCGTCGCCTGAAGCGAGCAACGCCCTGTGCTGCTCATGATCGAATGGGAAGTAGTTTGGAGGTTCGGGCTCGGGTTCGAAGCCCAGAGAGGCCATGAACGCCGGGTCGGAAGTGCCCACGGCATTACCGGCGCCAGCAATGAAGGGTAGGTAACCGATGTCCAAATCGTGCGTGCGCCAGCCCAGGAGCATGGTGTCCAAGGTCACGACGAGAGTAGTGTATCCGGCCTTCTTCGCGCGCGAGAGCAGTGACAGAGTGATATTGTCGGAAACTGGCCTAAAGGTGACATCAGCGGGCTGTCAAGTTAGCGTTATGAACACAGCTCACCAGTAGAGTTGGTACCAGCGGTGACTGTCGCCGTTAGCTTCGGCAATTTGTTCTATGGTGCGAGTGCTGGCAGTGCTCATAGTGAACGGAATACCGACAGACGCCGCAGCGCGAGCAGATGCGAGCTCTCCGTCTGGGTGCAAGAGCCCTTGGACTCCAACCGGGCCAATGAAGATGGGAGAACGGTGCTTTACCCCAAAGATCGTCACCTGAACAAATGTATCAGTGTCAACCTCTATACCAGACAAGGTACCAAAATGACGAACGTCGAGGTTGCGCGCAGTCGCGTCGCGCAACATGCGTGGAACAAGGCGCCAGTGTTCGAGCGCTGTTCGGTTTGCATGCTCGGTTGAGCTCAACCCAGCGGAGCCGAACGTGTACATGAAGGCAGCTGCATAGGGAAATCAAGTCAGCCTCAAGTCAATCGTTTCTGGATAATCATCCACCAGACGATGAAGTAGATATTGGGAGGTGCAGCTCGTAGACCGATCCTATTGTGACCGAGGCAACGTACCCTGATTATCTTTCGTGGCCTCGCGCGCCTTTTCGGGTAGCTTGCTTGCGTCATACGATATCGTAGGCCGAGTGGCCGTGGTGAACAAGTGCCGCACGTAAGACGACCATGGTGGACGGGCAGGTTGTCCAAGTTGACTTGTCTCTGCCTGAGCCATGGGGAGTTCAACGCGCGTCCCCTACATAGGGTAACCGTATATATCAGACGGACTGCAATCCACATCAGATATCGGAATCACCCACCGCATCTTGACATACAAACCTACGACAAGAAGGGGTCACCGGCGAGAGATCCAGAATCTTTCGGTTCCGGGTGGGAATTCACAACACGCCCCTCGGCTACGCCAGAGAACGAGTACAGAAGATGAAGAGCGAGGATATCCATTATCCTGAAGGGTCCACCGTGACTCAAGCTCAAGACTGTTCAGGCAAGTGATGGTCGAAGCTGAAGACCTTCGCGTTTGACGCGCGGGACAACGCGTTGCGTCATCAGCAGCGAATATCGGCCCGCCACGCAGCTGCAACTCGTCCGCGCGACTCATCTGCATGATCCCTCGCTCAGAGTGGCGGCCTACAAGAACGTATTCATGACTAGCGACTACTGGCATGAGCTGCGCCAGGACTCACGCGTTCAGAATCACAAGCAGGCCATCGTCGGCTTCCAGATGATGAACCGGCGCCTATGGCGGCCGAAGCCGAACATCTTCTACGTACCGTACCCAGGCCGCTGATGTTCTTTTACACCGGTTATCGCGGGTACCCTGGTACACGTAGCGCACCTCGCGCTGAACGACTGATCTATCTCGCTGTTGCACTTGACTGGCAATTCTTGAAGCTCTGCGTCGCTATGAGTGCTTTCCCTTATTTCCGGATGGGGTTACCGCATGCACTGTCACCGGCGTAGCGCCTTGTCCCGTTTTGGTGCTTCGGACGCTTGACGGGTTCACACAGACGGCTCTCTTGCTGTAAGGGTTCTCGATGAACTCTCGAGAGGCCTTCTGGTGCATCCTCGGTCCATAATATGAAGGCCGCACCGCCAGCAATCCATTGCCGAGGTTCATGGCGACCTTGCCAGACCTTGCCCCGCGCCCCTGCAGCCGGATGACTCTGACGACGAGGACTACGTGCAGCAACTTCACTCGCGACTCCTGCTTATGGGGCGTAGGTTTCCTTTGCCAAACGACGGCGCTTGACAGCTCCGCAAACAGCGGCGGAATCGCGATCCTCGCGCTCCAGATGCTTGATGCGATCTATCGTGCGTTGCTCACACGAATGCTGTGACTGGGCGTGGTGCTTACACAAGGCGCACGATCTTCTAGTGTTTTGAGTTAACCAAGTACACGTCAAGCCATGACGGTGTACGACATGTTGTCCTTACGATCTGTTGTCAGTCAGATGTCGAAGCCACTCGGACAAAACTGGCAGACCGGTGGTGGGGTCTGCGTGTCGGCGGAAGTTGATGCCGTGAAGCCAATCAGCACTTCAATCGGGGACTGCCTCGCAGAGGGAACGACGCACCATATACATTCTAAGAACCGCGACCGCTCATGATGGCTCCCCACCCCCTTGACCTACTGCCTACGCTACCATGCTGACAATCAGGGCATCTCTCGCGCCCGAGGCACCCATCTCTGCTCTAGCGGACGAGCTACCTCCGAAGTCAACCACTATCGGGGCACTTTTTGTTGGCTGGGGTATCTCCATGCTGGTCTTCGGCATACTGTGCCTGCAGACCTGGCTATACTTCAGCCGCTATGTTCATGATTCTCCCTGGCTCAAGCTATTCGTACGTTCATCTCGTCTTGCGCGCTCCCATAGTGGCACAAACTGATAGTAACCTCCCTACTAGGTTGCGTCACTATGGTGAGCGGACTCGCAGGCGCAGATGGCTGCCTAATCTGAAGATGATACGAATGAAGGGTGCTTGAAGTCGGTCACCAAATATCCATAGCACACTTCAGTTGGCATTACCTTGTAACGTTCGTCCGTTTTTGCGTCGTGTGTAGGGAGGACTAACGCTCTTGTGGCAGGGACTATGGGTCATTGCCCGGTGCTCTATCTGAAAGAACTGTGTGGTGCGTTGGGCTGCCATTGTCTCCAACGCCCGTTGATTCTTACGTACAATCTAGGAGCCTTGCTGTAAGGACTACTTTCCCTGCACAGGTATACTGTGTGCTAACACACCGCAGGCCGTGGTTATCTTAGGGGTACGTTCGTTCGATCGTGACTCCGCGCCTCGCTGAGCTAGAGTCTCTCAGGTGACTGTAGCCGCCATTGTCAAGATCTTCCTCGGTTGGCGTATCTACAGAGGTGATCCCCATCGTCCACTGCCTACACGAAGTACCTGACATCGAGTGTCCTGTCCAGTGAGCGGAAGACACTATTGGCTGGGAGCTACTGTACGCAGATGATGTAATGGAAACGCACTCCGCCAGCCTCATCACAGCCCGCAGATTGTGTTCTCCATTGCCCAATTCGCACTTGGCATTGGTATGTCCTTACTCCGTACTTTCTAAAAGGAGCATTCATCTGATGCATATCAGCGTTCGCCGCTCGATCGTACGTGTCGCGCCGTATCATCTCAACTGGGAGCTTCAATGACATCTTCGTAGTGTATCACTAGCACTCGATGAACTCACCACTCTTACGGTAGCTCCCATCAGCCTCTCCGCATCCGCAATATCTGATCAAGCATGTAGACGCTACCGACAATAGCATTATCCTTGGGTTCAGCGACGGATGTCGTCATCGCTCTCGTTCTCAGCTTCTATCTGCATACCATGCGCACAGGCTACCAGAAGTCTGAGAGGTTGATTGACAGGCTGATCATCTTCAGGTATGCCACTTCCGCCTTGAGCTATTCTTCGTGAGCTGATGAGACTCCCAGCGTCAATACGGGAGCGCTCACTGCAGCCGTCAGTGTATCTGTCGTTGTCTTGGTGAGAGACGCCGTTCGTTCTCATCCACGAAACCTGACGCCGTCGTCCAGTTCCAAACGATGCCCGAGAACTTCGTCTACATCTCTGTGTAAGCTCTCGCGTATTCTTTACCTCAGCGTTGCTGACCTGCCTACAGGTACTTTCTTGTTTGTAAACGTGAGCAAGAACGCCGAGCTCAAATCCATGTCCAGACTGACTGACACCGACCAGTCTACTCCAACTCATGCCTCGCAACGTGAGTTACCTATACCTTGTACTTGTGCGCCGGCTCTGACAGGCTCTGTAGACTTAATTCGCGGAGAGGCAAGGGCCGTGGTCGTGAGGAAGACGCCGAGTCCCATGTCGCCAGTCACGCTCTAGCGTTCTTCAGCCCTCGCTCGAACAATGTTCCCATCGACGTGGACACGACCAAGTTGGCTCAGGTGCGTTCGATGACCGACCTCTGAGTCTTGCAGTCGCCGACCATATGTGCAGTCCGTGATCCAGATTGGTGTACACCAAGAGACATCTGTCGCCCAGGACGGGGATAGTGCCTCTACCAGGCCAGTATCCGATTACGGCAGGCAAAGCTCGGATAAGAAGTATGACCGTCCGGGTGCATTATAGCCCAGTGTATTAGCATGTATGTACGATCCAACGCAACATCTGGGGATCAGCAGAGACCGATCGTGAGCAGATGCATCGACGATTCCACAGGTATATTGTATGAAGACCGCGATCTTTTACGTAGCGTCCATCTGAGGCACCTTAGCAACGATATGACTCTGCGGATGCAGAAACCACATACGTGTCTGACTGTATGCAACTCGGTTCTGAGCCTTGACCCCGAGCTGCGAGCTCACTGGGCGATTGCAGAACTAGGCAGAACTTCGCGAACTTATGATCCTTTCTCAGTCCCGGCATCATCGGAATTGAGGACGTTTGCGCGGCCTTACTGTACTGCTCCGCTGAACGAAGACGAAGGATGGACCTTCGATCGTATCGCAGTGGCGGTGGCGGTGAAGGTGGAGGTACAAAGCAGTCTGGCATTTGATCAACTGCAAGTTGAAGTGGCTCGCAACAACGAGCCACGAGGCACCACCTGCCGCTTTCGGCCAGACGCGGATGTTGCACAGCTTCTTTCCGGAGCCTTTCATGTACGGGCGCGGCCCGGCTACTGTATCTGCATCTCACCATCATGCGAACTGTACGGTTTACACTGGCACCAGCCTGGTTGCGGTTATGCCCCCATCTACTTCGCTTCTCCCGCCTTGCGAGACGTGATGACCACACCAGCGCGGCGCTCGGCGTAACTCTCGCCACGGGCGAACCCAAATAGCTGCACAACATATACGGCGGCAATACGCTCCATAGTATACCATCTATGAAGGCACATACGCTCAGTCCAGACCCACCCCATTGGTGTGTGTGCGAACTGTACTCGAGAGTATCAGGCGACCCGTCCATCTTCTCGTCACCCAACGGTCCCTTCGACTTCGAGTGTTCCTTTCCCTCGTCTATCAGGCCCTCATTTGACCCGCGTTCAAGAGCGTTGCTGATAACACCCTCTTCGGGGAAGGCAACCCCCTGTTTGGGCTGAATCTACAGGTAATAGAGTCCACTATCACAAGTTTCATCGGGAACAGTGCCCTGACACCTTCAATGTCTAGCGCCTCCTCTCTGCGAGTCCCTACTGCTGATATCTCAAGGTCTCATGTTTACGACCATCTCTTCATGATCGATTCGTTGGTTACATCGTGCACCACAACATATGCTAAGAACGCCCTGTCTTCTTTCGAAGCTCACTGAGCCCTTCTTTGCCAGTACAATCGCCATCTAAGCCTCGCTCTTCACAGGCATACAGGGCAGATTCCGTGTCAGGGCCTTTACTTGATGCGCCGTAGGAGCGGTGGCTCTCATCCGACGCATCAATCCGCAGCTCTTATATACAGCTGCAGCGTCATGGCGTGGAATGCTAGCGCTTGCGATGCCTTCCCTCGTGCCGCTGGACAATACCCTGGGCGCATTGTACGTCGGGGTCATCTTCTCTAGCATGTAAGTCGACATTCATGCATGACTATGAGACGATCGCTGACAACGGTGGTCAGAGTGTACGGGGTCATCTGCACGCAGGCGTTCCTGTACTATACCGAACACTGCAAGCGGGATGGATGGTTTTTGAAAGGTTTTGTGAGCCCAGTTCGCCCGTAATCATGTGTAGCACCTGAGCTCATGTCACCCCTAGGTTGCATTCCTCTGGTAGGCACTCGCATACGTGGTATACTCCTCGCTGACTCTGGCCAGGTTCCTAGAAACCGTCACTTGTGTCTTATTCAATTTCGGAATGTACTATTACACCGTGACCAACTTCGGTGATTACGACGCTTTGCTACATAGCGCAACTGTGTGGTAAGTCCTGTTTGAGCCCGTCATCGAGTGGTATCTCATACTCATCTAATTCATTAGGAGCATCCTAGTCAGTTGTATTTGCATGACGTCTCTGGCAGCATGCTAATACCTCAACGAAGGTCGAGATCGGGCTCAGCGTATGTCCAACTTCAGGCTTGTCAATACTCTCCGCCCGCTCTGAATGTAGACATAGACATTCATAGCCTTACTTGTGCAATGGTGCGCCCGATGCCGCACCTTTGGTCTTATGCTTGTGCTGACGAAACCTTCAGCTTCTTTGCCCATCGCGTATATATCCGTACGATGCTTTGTTCTTCATGGATGCGGTCTGGTCAGGTTGTCTGAATGACATGATCTAGTTGGCGGGAAGACCCTAGTCCTTCCCATTATCATCGTACGTCCGTCCCGAGCAGTTCCTTAGCGGATACGCTGACACAGCCTCATAGGTTATACTCTCCCTCGCCCAATTCTGTGCGTAAGCTCGACTTGAGTGGCTCGCAAACAGGCCTCCGAGTGTACTGATTGCTTTCGTAGCGCTTGGAATGGGTGAATAGACGTTTCCAACCCTGTTCATATCATGACTTGTGCTGACCAGAACCGATTCCCGCCAGTCTATACGGACGTATCGTGGGTGCCCACCGCTTGTTGCGTCCGGATGCCACTTCTCACTACGTTCTAGGTTGAGTTTTAAGCGTCTGTCCGGCGGCACAAGCGACTTCGTGTGTGGTGTTCACTCAACACGGGCCACTGGCTGACGCAGGTTCCAGCCCTACGTTATCAGTCTCTTCGGTTTGGAGCTAGTTGCCGACTGCACGATCGCGGCGTCGTCCATCTACTATCTTCGCTCCCGCGCCAGCCATAGCGGGATCTCTACGTGCGTACACCATCCCTTCAGGGACTCGCAAGGCCAGCTCGCAAGGTCAAGGAGCTAACGCGTTATCGGTAGGACGAGGCGTGTAATCAATCTGATCATCAAGTTCGTCGTAAACACATGTACGTTCGATCCCTGGCCAGGCGGTGAAATGTCCGTTGACTGTGCTATTCTTAGGCTTACTCGAAGTGTAAGTCGCCGTGATTCGTCGTCGGATAGAGGCTGATGGGAAGTGAATAGGTTCTGCCTCATCCCCATCCTGGCATTGGTACGCATGCTCATCCTATCAACCAACGTCGCGTCAATACATCGTATCTCATACACCCTTATAGTGGACAGCCGAAGCCGACACCTTGATCTTCAGTCCGTTTGTGTGTTCTCTTCCACGAAGTGCGTCTCGTATTTATCAAATCTGCGTCTGCCCTGAGTATGGTATACTGAATGCCCAGACTCTAGTCTACTCTGCCTCGGTTATGTGCTCGTACGTATACTCGACGTGCAAGAGCACAAATCCTGACCATATTGTAATAGACTCAATAACCGGGACCATCTTCGTGGCCTCAGCGGCTCGCGTACGAATGGTGCAATCACGCTATCGACCTTCCAGACGGAATCCACTGACATGCGTACGCAAACGAGCGGGGGATCTACAGAGACTACTGGGCAAGCTTTGGATATCTCGAAGAGACATGTTCGGCTGCCACGAGACAGGGTGAACCAGATGCCCAGCGAAGACGCTGGGTCTCAACACGATGTCGACTTCAAGGGCGGATTCATGTAAGTCTCCCTACCACTCTCTGAAAACGGTTGGGACTGACGGCTTGCTCCGGTACAGGACGGTCTGAGTACTACGCAGCATGGGTTCATATTTGGACGAGCTTGTACAGGCGATGCCTCGTTTGTCGTTGAACCGCGATGTATTGTATAATTTATGGATAATCTGTTGGCTTGGAGGATGGCGTTCCCCTGGACATAAATCCCCTTTCAGATTGAGTTGGGCGCTTGGATGGCCCCGGGATCAGCTGGCGAGCTGAGTATACAAGTGGACTGTCAAGCGTGCACTACATAATCCCGAGTCTGTCTACGGGAGACTAAGATTCGGAAGACAAGAGGGAGAGCGCCCGAAGTTGAACTTCGGCCAAACATGCACAAATATCGGGCTTGGCGTGCCGGATCCCGGACGCCACGACGACCTCTCCTTCGGCTTCCACCCTGACCTTCTTCCTCCCAATATACTCTATACATCGCGTCTCATTGCCTCGCGCCTTTTGCTGCCTCGATTCTCGCTACTTTGCGCCGCTTTCCTCATCATCTCCACCCACGCACTTTGCGCGCACTCTCCATATCCCTGCGACAAGCTCAAGCACCATCTCTGCCTCTTCCCTTCCCACCTTGAATATTCAGTCTCGCACACTACCTTCTCATCAGCTTCTACTATACTCATGCGCTGTTTAGCATGCTTACACCGACAACCGCTCCCGGATCTCTATCGGGTTCTCATGGCTGGCTACAATACAACATATCGTTCAAATATCTGTAGCCTCGTAAAGCGTAGTCACATCATGAAATCGCTGCTATGTATACGAGCGAGGCATGGGTTGATCATGAGAGAATGGAGATACGAGTATCGCGCGAGCTCTCTCCGGCCAACACTCTACCCTGAAGGTTTATTCATGCTCTCCAAATCGCAGAATCCTCGGGCACTGACGCGATTTCAAATTTCACCACCTATCCGTGGTCAAGATCCAAGACCGGCCGGTCCAAATCCCCTGTCTTCGAGCAGTCATGTTCCAACGAACTCAAATATGCATCTTAGCGTCAAGGATGAATGCGTCGTCGTATGGGACTCCCGATCACAACTACACTATGATAATGGCATCGCCACCGCCAGCCCTGGTGGCCTTCATAGCGGGTCCAGTAGTGTCGGGTGTGAAGGGGTCCGATAAAGAATGTCCGTGCTTTACCTGAATGCGAGTCTGCTATCAGTACCGAAGAGAGCATGGCTGACCACACTCACAGGATCTTCGCATTCAATGTCTTCTATCATCTCCTCTAGCCCTCCATCCCTCACGACGAGCTTCTGCCTTGTCATCTTGACATGCACCGCCGATCCGGTAGCCTATCACGCATCAGGGCCCGCCATGACGAGGATGAATCGCAAATCTTACATTTCGCGACGCGAGAGCCTCGGATCTGTCTCCTGTTACGGTCAACACGCTCACATGAGTTTGGATACCCGAAGATCTTAGAGCAACTCGGCCGTTGAATCTGACCAATGTCTTCACTAGGGCATGTGTGTACCACTGATAGCGAGACTTACGTTGCTAGCATAGTATTCGAGTATACTATCCACCCTCCAAAGTCAGTGAAACCATTGAAGATTGGTCAGGACTCAGATACTTACGCTTCGCGAAGACCATGATCACCACAAGCCATGCAGCTGTAGAGCGTGCAAACTTAAGACTCGAGTAATCCAAGAGCATCTTCCAACGTACGCGTATGGGGTAGCGCAAATAGCTATTGTCATCCTTCATCAATCGACGAAGCAGCGATAGGAGTGTCACCTGACGTACCAAAATCAAGCCGAGGAAACTGACCGCTCTATTGGTGTTGGTGGGAGTCAGTCCACAATCGCACGACGTTGAGCTGATAGGCTGTGCATACGCGACTAGAATGCCAGTCTCTGCCGATCGTTTATCAGTATCAACGTGCGTGCAAGGTCACGCGAAGCCTCAAGGGCCACCCACCCGTAGACCAAAGCATGAGACGCTCAATCATCTTGCGTGACCTACGTTCTGCGAGTGAAGAAGTGGCCTCGAGATAGCGTGGAGAACGTACTGTGTGACCCCACCGCGCGCACGATATAAGGCGAAGAGGAGAGTCGACGTGTTCACTGTATCGGCAGAGGCACCTGCTACCAGTCCAAGGATCACGAGGTAGCGATACTGCATGGTGAACGCTGTGAGGCTGATGCGCACAGATTCGACTGCTCCTGCGACTGAGCACGCGAAGTGGATCGCGATCCCGGTTCCAGAGATGATGGGGATCCAAGGGCGCTTTCTGGTGATGATGTAGGCGCGATAGGTGAAGAAGAGCTTGTTTCGATTAGCTAGTTTCCCGGCAGCACGCCTGCGGGCTTGACGCACCTGAACCATCGCTTGTGCGAGACCGCCGACTGGGATTGAGACGGCCACGGTCCAAGGTGTACTATCCAACGCATCATAATTGCCGAAGTTGTTGATGGTAGTATCGTAGACGTAGGCACTGATGAGTCCGCTATGCACCATCTCCACAGTGCTGTTATGGAATGACTTGTAAACGCGTGTATCTGAGTAGTAGTAGGATCGCATCCTTACACCACGAAGGCAATCTGCAACTTGCGTTTAGTACACGAATGATATGAACTATGTGCATACAGCCCGACACACCAACAGCTTGATATAGCGGCTGTCTTTGTGAAACTCCGATTGGTAGTAGATGAAAGCCTGGACCGCATTCATACCAGACAGGAACCAAGCCACGAAGACCCCAACTTCGAGGGCCCCTAGACTCGGACCTAGGTTTGGGATGACGGGGGACGTAGGTACTGACATGGGTCTTGTCGATCGAGACTCAGGGTGTCGGTAGCACTCTCACATTTGCTGGAGAGTCTTATGCCCGCACATATAGGGTATGCGATACTGACTCTCATGATGAAGGTGGTGTGGTGATGTACAACTCTTTCCACACGGCCCAAGCTCCGAAGGTTGATAAAAGGGAGCTGAGCGCGGCCACTGGGCCAGTCACCCAATAGTGACAGGTGATATAGAAGAGACCCCATCGCATCACAAGTCAGGCGGACGCACTTCGTTGAATGTGCTTGCATGTGTATGGTGATACGCCGCCCCGTGCGCGCCAACCATCGAACACCAAATCAGTATCCGAACTGCCCCTGGCGCGGGAGAAGCAAAAGATGGGACGTTCACTATTCACCGGTGCATCAACCTTAGGTCGTACACCTGCTTGAATAGGCGACATGCATAACTCCAACACCTTCCCGCGGCCGTCGGCCAGGAAGACTGGGATAGTGATTGAAAAACGCAACGAATGAACAAGGAGGACAATAATAGACTCGGCCAATCGAAGCTGCATGCCATGCACAACCTTCCTTATACACTCGGACGAGATTGCCCCGCGACCCGACGTGTGAGAGACCAGTAGTACGATCATTCTACAAGCCCATCTGGCACTTGCCAAGGCTTGAGAGTCTACAGCTTCGCTGCACCAGGTTGCACGAGTTGTGCGAGCTCTTTCAGTTTCCGCCGCAGGATCTTCCCGGACGCGCTCTTCGGTATCGCGTCAACCAAGACTACGCCTCCGCGGAGTTGTTTGTGATTTGCGATACGTGAAGCTACGTACTTCGCGAAGTCGTCCGGGGCGGATGTCGACCGAGGCGCACGTACGATATACGCGCTTGGAAGCTCGTTACCGGAGTGGTCTGGAGCGGGAATCCCGATGACTGCTGCGTCAATGATCTCGGGGTGGCCCAGGAGTACGTCTTCAAGCTCAGCGGGCGACACTATGCGAGGCTAATCAGTAGCTACCATGGTGGCACCCTAACCCGACGAGAGGCATACCTTGAAAGCCTTTGTATTTGATAAGCTCCTTCTTCCTGTCAACAATTGTGAAGCGCCCCTCTTCATCGACAGTGGCAACATCGCCCGTCTTGAGCCAACCGTCCATCGTCGTGGTCTCCCGTGTCGCCTTCTCGTTCCGCAGGTACCGTTTCATCACAATCGGCCCACGGATCCATAACTCCCCACGTTCACCCGGCTTCTTTGCGTCGACGGTGGTGTCCTCGTCGCTCACTACAAGCCGAGCTTCAAGGTTGGGTAGAAGATGACCGATAGTAAACGCTTTGCCGGCACGCGCATCGGTCTCGTTCACGAAGTGGCTGATTGTGCTTAGCTCCGTCATGCCGTAGCCTTGGGTGATGGTCACATCCGCGCCGATCTTCATGAAACGCTTGTTCAGGATAGCAAGTAGCTCGGCACTGAGCGGGGCGGCACCCGATAGGATAAGGCGCAGCGAGCGTAAATCATGCTTCTCCACGGCGGGATGATGCGCAAAGGCAAGGGCGATGGGTGGAACGATCAAGGCGCGCGTGATGCGATGCTCTGCGAGGGCAGCGAAGTAGATGTCTGGTACGAATCGCGGAACGATTGCGACGGGAGCACCCAGATAGAATGGGTTGAAGAGAAGTAAGTTGAGACCTGGATACGGGTGTTAACTTATCATGCTTCCCGTCCTTGAATGTTTGCAACTCACCGTACACGTGAAAGAAGGGAAGCGCTGCGATGAAGCTATCTTGGGCATCCCAACCACTGACAGCATTAAAGATGACCAAATCGCTGGATAGATTGTGATGTGTCGTCTATGAGGTAATTGTCAGACGATGCCATTCGCGGGAGAAGGCAGATAGTAGATGAACGTACCTCTACGCCCTTTGGGCGGCCGGTCGTGCCAGAGGAATAGCATATCACCGCGGTTTCATGGGCACGCTCGCCACCGTACTGTTCCTCCGCATCCAGCGCTCCGCCTCCAATCAAGCTCTTCACCCCACGTAGCCCGTCGGCGCTATGAATGTCGAGATCCATGATGATTATCCGTGTGTCCGCATCTTGCTTGCTGAACCCGAGACTCTCGAACATGGCGCGTGCGATGGTCAATAGCGTCGGGTGCACAAACAGTAAACGCGCGCCGCTATCCTTGTATTGGTGTGCCAGTTCAGAGGACGTATATCCTGAGTTCGCAAGCGTGGCAATACCGCCGGCGGCGACGAGGCCGAGCAAAACGACCGGCCATGCGATAGAGTTCGGCGAGAACACGAGAGCAACTTCGCTTTTCTCGAGCCTCAGATCCTTGCGCGCACCATGGCCGAGTTGCAGAGCCATGAGCCGTACTTGAGCGCGCGTGAGGGTGCGCTTTGTAAGGACGTCAATGTACGCCGTGCGCGAGTGGTCATGGTGGCCAGAGAAGAGGAATGTGAAGATCGACGTCGACGGCAGCGTGCATGAGGGATATGGTGACTTATAGATCACTGGCGGCATTGTGCGTAAGGCGATGCGCAGGCCAGAAGAATATGGCTCCAAGCGCGGGCTTTATGGCTTTGCGAAGGGTATAGCGCGTAAACCGACCAGCGCCGATCACAGGCGCTTAGCGCTTGGGTGGCATCAGGCAGTAGAAGTATGCCATTTGGTACTCTGTGACGGCGTCGTCCCAGTAGCCACTATAGAGTATGAGCAGGGCGGTGTATTATGCGTGCGATTAGTCCTCAAGACCGTTCAAGGACAAGACGGAACGGCCAACTTGGACACCCGATAATTTGGCGCGTGCGACAAGGCACGTGGTGGTTCGGTCATCACGGCAACCGCCGGGGAATCAGCCCGCGGCCAGCCTCTCCGCGCTGACCGGCCCCGGGCAGATAGTACGCTCAAGCCTGTCGAAGCTAAGCCACATCCTGGCTCTGCAATGTTCTGCCACAAGCTCTAATCCCTACTCCCTGATAAAGCTTAGGTCGAGTCTCTCATCGGACAATTCCTCGAGGTCTCCTTCAGTTGAGCCCGGAGCCGCCCACCTACCACCGCCCGCCGCCTGTGAAAGCACCGAAGCACCCGCCTTGATCGGGGAAGCAGCCGCCTTCATGGAGAGTTTGAACTCGTGAGTAAGTACGGGGTACCAGAGTCGTTCCATATCGGCCTCATAGTCCGCGGACACTGCGCAGGCGCATCATCGAAACTTACGATATATGCGGGCATGAATGCGGCCTGGATGCCGTGCTTCAGATCATCTGTAGGCGCTCAACATACTGTATCTGCTATGTCCATGGTCAGGGCTGGCTCGGAAACATGATGCGACTGCATGCTCAAGTAAAGACACCGCGATGTATTTTGAGACTCGCGGGACTGGTACTAAACTTAGTACAGCACGACTCTTCGTAGCAGAGAAACACACATCCGATACTTCTGAAGAGCTCATCAGAAATCCGTTCCTCAGCGCAAGATGAAGTGACCGCCGTCGTAAGTTTGGTTGTTCCGGTACAGGACCGTAGTGTGCATTTTTGACATTCGGATCTTTGCGACATAATGGTACATGATTCCATCCCAAAGCTGACACCCGGCAGCTCATGGAGTATACTATGTAGGCCAGATAGGTTACAGTAGAAGCGGAAACTACTTGCGACTGACAGTTCGACACCTATCCGTGGCAAGGGTCTCGCGGAGCGCATGGCTTTCTCATCTCCTCCGCAATGCTTGCAACTCGACTTCCCTCGGGACGAGAGTCATATCCTGTGTCGCTCCGGTGGTGAAAGTGCTAGGAAACATTCAGCAAAGCACGAGAAGTCGGTCGTCCCTGGACGTACTCTATGCGTTTAGAACGGCTGCCATGCACGGCGGCGTTTAGGGAGCGAAACATTCGCGTTGCTCCTATAGGCCTAAGGCGATTTAGCTGTGTGTGACTTCGCCTCATGCAGCCAAGTGGCTTACAAGATGATAGCTTTACACGGGAGTGAGACGTCAGGATCAGTTCATGACCTGGATTGCGTAGCGAGAAGTATTGCAAGCGAACCTTCGGGAGAGACGAACATCTATGCGTGCGATGATCTTCGGTAACAACTCTTCTCAACAGCAGGCTAGGTGCTTACCGAGTTCATGATAGCTGACGGAGACTTCAGATTAACTTCAGACAATAGGATGTGAACACTCACGATTGATATCCAAGGACAGCAGGGTCTGTTCAGTTAAGTAGTCAGATTGCATCCATGCGTGCCCCACTGGGATTCGTATCACGACATACCACGACAGGCACTTCGATAAGTGTAGCAAGGAAAAGGTACGCCAGACCCTAAAGCCTCATCAGCGCCTGGAACTTGGTTTCGGATGGTTGGCGCACTTGTTGCCAGAGCGCGTTCCACATCTCGAACTGACGAGCATTGCGCCAGTTGATCTGCAGCCCCACCAGTAGAAGCGTGAGTAGTGTGCAGTCGCAGATGAGCATCGCGATGGACGGGTACAAGTCGTTATGTACCCCATCTAACGAGCAGTTGCGCAGTACCGCTTCATACGTGGACTGGACCTGTGCCATAGTAGCTTAGCATACGTATCGACGTCACACTGCCCTAGAGAGCTCGCACCTTGACGACAACTGGTGGTAAGGCGCGATCAGTCCCACTGCTCGAAGATCGGGACTTTCACGAATGCTCACAATATATGGCAAATGCTAGGATTATGCACCAAAGCATCACCAGAAGTGCAACGATCCGCTTGCTCCACTTCCAGATCGCCCCGCTGGAAGACTGTTAGTTCAACGAGCCTTGTGCGCGGGCTCATGCCATCTGGCTCGTACACTCGTATAGAAAGCAAGGTTGAAGAACACATGATACCGAGGACATTCGTCGTCTTCAGAGTGCCGGTGTCAGCGTCAACAGGTCTGCGGTCGAGGGCGTATATGCACGTACGATGAGAATCTTTAGCAACACCTACGTTTTTGTGTCAGTCGCCGTGCGCACAGAAGAACTAGATATCTTACGTGGCAATCTGGTCCACCTGGAATAGGGAAGGCAGCGGTGAATATGCAGCAGCCGTAGACCACCATGATCACTCGACACAACATGTAAGTCTAGACCGCTATCAGCGCCCACAGTTCTAACGTCTGAACCGCAAGCCGAGGTGCACCCATTGTGCGATATGCGCCACCATCGGGCGCCGTATCTCCTGTCGCCTCAACAGCTTCCAGTCGTACTCTATGTTCGAAATGAACTCGTGCCTAGAGGCGCTTGAGAGACGCCAAGAGAAGCATATTGAGGGTCTCACCAGCACATGCCCGCGAATATGAGCGTCATGTCCTGTAGAGCCGCTGTAGAGAATCGTCAGATGCGGGGATGTTGGACTGGAGCGACGAGTACGTACTGACTTGGCGGAGTAATGGAAGGAGGGCGGCCGCGTCCGACATGGTGAATGGGTTAGAGGGGGGAGAACGGCCTCGTCCTGAGCACAAACGTAAGCTTAAGGGTCGCCGCAAGACCTATAGAGCCTCCCGAGGAGCCCTGAAGTCATGGAGGGCCGCATACCGAGCCCGTAATTGAGCTATACTTGCAGACTGATCCGTCCGATCAAACACCGTACAATGTTTAATGTAGCAGCAGCTTCTTCATGGGGCACGAGAAGCTCAGCAACGTGATGATCATATGGGGTAGCATGTCGGCCAACATCGACGCTGATGTACATTGGCGCTGGTTGTTCACGATGGGCGAAGCCTAGACATCTTTAGTCAATGCATGTCAAACCTTGGTCCGAAGGAGACCATATGATGGTTCGGACTCTGCGACGGCCAAAAGGACGCTGGTCGGAAGCACAACGGAGTAAGACGCGCGGTACATTGGGGAGCTCAATCACGCTTGCCAGCGTCCGCGTAGGTATCGAGCACTCGCTAATGAACCCCGATAAGCGACCTCAATACGAGCGCTCTAGCCAGAGTACTCACCTCCGAAGTCCCTGGCAGCGCATACTGCGAATAGTATGTCCGAGAGAGTACCCATGATAGCGACCAGATCAGTCGCAGTGGCGGATGGCCCCAGAATCTTCTGCTATTCTCGAGAGAACATGAGCGCATCGCGCGCCCGTGCAATAATCAGACATGGGTGTTGGGCTAGTTCTTTCCGAGGAGAGCCATATCAGGAGAACGCAGATGGAAGTCGGTTTGAGATGCGCCTGTCGACTGCGCCCATGCAGAATGGGTACTTGGATAATTGTCGACTAATTGGACTAGCGCGCTCGCGGCGGGTCACAGTAGAGTTTACAAACGGCCGCTGTACAGGCGTGACACTGTTCGCGGAATAGAGAAGGTTGGCGGTATCCCCTATAGGTATTCGCTACACGCCCAGCGCAGACAAACTTTGGACGTGAACATGGTGGTAAGCGGCAAGCATTTGAGGGGAGATCGGAGGGACAGGCCGAAGCAGGGATCGGGCCGGTTCGCCGGTCCCTATGAGACCTCGGTGATTGCAGCGCACCAAGCTGCCCTCCTGCATGCTGCATGCACCTTCTACGTTCGCCCTGACCTATAGGTCATGCTTGCGTCCCAAACATAGACCTGACGGGTACCAGACACCCGCGCCGGTCTCCCACCGTTTTCTCCGAGTCTTCGAGTTTGACGTACCGAGGCTCTGAATACATAAGCGACGTTGATGCTACGGCATGAAAGGATAACTCAATCCAGCGGATGTCCAATATGTGGGAGTCTGGTAAGGTACCTAGGGTTGGAGCGGCCCTACGGGCACTAGTCAAAGCATAAGGATCATACGAGCTGAGTGCCCTTCCTCTTGACCAGTAGGACCCTCCCGGCAAAGACGATGGCGGTTCCACCCATGACAGAGACCTAGGGTATGTCGTTGTTAGTTGTGACCGGTGATACGGTAAGATGGTATCTCACGGCGGTGAAAATGATGGTCTTGGCCCAGTCGAAATTATCACCCAGTAGAGCGCCCACAATTGGGTTACCGGTCAGAGCACCGATAGCTGCAATGGCAAAGCCCAATCCCACGCGCAGACTATGGAGTACTCAGCGCTCGCTTATGCAACATAAGGGGGACGAAGTACATACCCGATCTCACTCTCATCCTTGGCCAGAGATCCGATACCGAGCGTGACCATGGACAGGACTGTAGGTCAACCAGATGTTGAGCGCACGGAGTGTGAGATGACAGGGGAGGGTACGCACAGGCGCCAGAGAAGAAACCGTAGATTATCGAGAAAACGATGGTGCCGGCCGCAGTGGTTACACCGAACAAGGCGAAGAGCAATACGCTGCAGACGAAGCAACACGCGATGACGCCGTTGAAGACTCCTATCCTTCGTGCATACAAGTTTGGCAGGATACGTCCCGGGATAGAGCCAGCGTTGAGTATTGCGATCTGAGAAAGTCAGTGAGTAGATGTCGGGGCACATGATCCATGAAGGAGCTTACTGTGTAGAATGCGATGTTAGAGTCCACACCATGCTTGACGGCGTACAACTGAAGATAGAAGTCTGGAATCGGTTGAGTACAGAGAGCTTAACGGCACATTGAAGATGAAACATACAGGGGTAGAAGAGTCCCCAGAGGATGAAGAGGGCACTACAAAGGACACGTTAGCTAAGACCGATGGTTTGGATGGACAACATCTCACCCAACAATTACGAGCATGTAAGGAGCGTCTGTGAATAGTGTACGGATGTTGGGCGGAGCACGTTTCCTCGACGTAACAGCCGGATGCGATGACATGAGAAGGTTGGCGGCGATGAGTATACCTAGTGTCACGAAGCCTGTCGCGCGCACACCCCAACCAAAGCCGAGTCTCCCGTTGATGAGGCGATTCAGCATGATTGGGAAGATAATGCCTCCTATGGAAGACCCTGCAGCGCACACAGAACGAATCAGACGCGGAGGATGAGTCATACACGAGAGGACATACCTGCATTGACAATTCCAACTGCCACGGGCCGATACACGCGAAAATGGTGCGCCTGCACGGCCACAGCAGGTACGTAGATGATCCCAGCTCCTAGACCCATTCCTACGCCTTGAGCAAGCAGTAGCTGGTAGTACTTCTCGGGATTTGCGATCGAAACCATGAATAGCCTGCACGCAACCTCAGTGAAACTTCCTCAAAGGCCGACAACCCTACGCACGAGAAGGTGTACAACAGCGAACCGAATAATGTCGTGATGCGGAAGTAGCCCATGTCGAGCAACTTTCCAGACACAAGTCCGGCAGATATTAAGAGGAAGAGTTGTACACCTAGAAGATTATCAATAACGCGTGCCGTGTGGCGAGATCCAACAGCGGCATACCTCCGATCCATGATATGTTGGACGCTGACGAAGTACCAGTTCGCGTATAGTAGTCCTGGAATACACCGAAGGCGTTGGCATATCCAAAAGTCGCTGTGAAGACTAAGAACCTATCACGTCAGAAGGTTAATTCCCATTTGGGAAGTAGGATATGCAATCTGGGCGCACCCGCCAAGCATCGTCGACCAGGCCCTGACGCCACGATCCACGATATGCGGCTCGCCAGACGGAGAGGCCTCGGAAAGCTGGTCCTTCTCGGGCATTTGCTCGCTCGGAGTACTACTTGCAAGAGTTTCGTCTGCCATGGCGGGGTGGCGCTGAAGGTGAAGGTAGAGGAGCGAACGGCGCGTTCGATGACCCAGCTCAAGATAGAGCCTCCGAAGCGTGAGCAGAGCGTGCTGGGAAAGATCAAGTCAAAGATGGGCTTCTTGAGCGCTTGGTATACAGAGTAGACGCCGGAGGGCACGGAGGCTTGACGGCACAGAGCGAGGAGCCGACCATATTCCGGATCGTAGACGCCCATGTTGATGCGAGTTATGGAGCGAAACTGATAATAGTATCCATTCCTGGTACTTCTTGCAGATACGTGGAAACTAAAGATAGGTGAAATGTAACACCGAGCGAGACGGTGAACATCACGGCGCGAACGAAGGGCCGATGACGCGCACCACAGAACCCTTTCGGCAACTTGCGGAATCACATCACAACACCCGCGAAGTCGCGACCCTTTTCGCGCCTCGTCTTCGATTCTCACAATCACCATACTACCCTCGGGAGTGGTACTTAGTGGCTCAATTGTCGAGTGTCACGCGAAGAGCGATACGCTGTAGGCTTCCATCACTCCGTAACTTCCTCTCCCAGCGACGGCGCTTAACGAACCGCCGGCTCGAGTTTACCGCGGTGTTGACGCATGGAACCCTGCGGCCACCGAATGCAGGCCTCCACGCAAGGGCTTCCGTTCTCAAGAAACGAGGCGATTCCCTTCGCCCACATCTTACCATCTGGATAATATCATCAGAACCCTGTCTCCCGGTAATCCAACGTTCACCGAGGCATAACGTCCTTCGTCGCCACGCGCTACCTTTCCAAGTTTCCTTGAGCCCAATGACCCTATCACTCGAGTTCATCCACCTCACCGCATTCTCCACCCATATTGCAGGAGGAAATCCTGCCGCAGTGGTCTTCCTAACACCTGAGCAGGATGCCATCGTCTCCGACGCTACCCGACAGGCGATTGGTGCCAATTGGGCCCAGCCGATGACCGCTCTGGTCGTTCCCCGTCCGCCTTCGGCCGCGAGCAAATCAGACGAGGAGAGGTCCTTCGATATCCGTTACTTTACGTCCAACATTGAACCCAGTCTCTGCAGACATGCAACTTTATGCGCTGCTTCGGCGATCTTCAATGATCCTCGCCTTTCTTCGCCTACGGTCACCACCCTGCAATTCCACGCTAAGAACGGGCGCATCACCGCGCGCAAGACTGATGACGGTCTTGTCGAGATTGAACTCGCGGCCGGCAAGCATCAGCCGTTGGTCGGCGACGATCCACGCGCTGTGGCACTGAAAGCGGCCCTCACTCGCGCGTTTGGTCCCGATGTTCCTATCAAGTTCATGGCCGCTGGGCTGGAGCATCTCGACGTGTACTGTCTTGCTGAGGTTGAGACCGACGATCTGAGGGGTTTGAAGGTGAAGATATCTGAGTTGGTAAGTCCCGACGTTCTACTTATTGTACGACCCGCCATCTTGAACACATGTTCGTTACCCCAGGTCGACTCTCCATTCATCGCCCATATGATCACGACGTCGTCCAAGAATCCTTCTGTCGCCTTCGAGTCTCGCATGTTCGCACCGGCGGCCATGATACCCGAGGATCCCGTCTGTGGCACCGGCCATACGTTGATAACTCCGTATTGGGGTGCTAAATCCGGGATCATGGAACAACTTGCTGGCGAGGGGATACGCACTGTTCAAGTCAGTTCGCGTGGCGGGGAGCTCAAAGTGCGCTTAGATGAGCAGAATGGCCTCATCAGGCTGGCAGGGCCTGTGACAGTGATTTCTAAGGGGAAGCTGTTCGTGTAGTAGCACGACAGGCATTCTCACTGTAGACGCACGGAATGGTTGTATCCAAGTGGTCCTCGGTCTCCCAGACAATCCTCGGGTTTCAGGCCTCAGGGCTCGTCTATACAATTGTAGCTCAACTGCGTTCGTTCGTGTCGGCCGACGCTCCGCGCGCGATAAGGGCGATTGCTTTACCCATCGTCCCTCAGAGGTACTGTGTGTCATGTACAAATGTAGATGATGGCTCCTCCGTTTACCTCCATTGAGGCCGCAGGAGTCGGTGCCGCATGTCAGACCGGTGAGGGTTTTGATATGCTATCAAGCATTGTAGTCAGGTTTCCACCTGTTTTCACTTAATCAACAGACGGTCTCTTAGTATGGTTTCTATCAGAGGACCGTCGGGGAGTACAGATTTGGGGCCCCTGATCATACGTATGGTTTGTCCACGGCTACCTCATGAACTGTATCTCCTTCTTTTTCCATGTATCGCTTCTTCGGATTCTGGTATCATGGTGCTATACACATCCTGTATTGAGTGCTAACAGACATCGAACCTCCGCAGGCTCCGATGAGACCGGCGGGCGGTCTTATTATCGTGGTCTTTATGCACTATATGCTTCTTTACCAGCTCATCGAAGATGAACGTACCGGATCGAACTGGAAATGATGCTGGCATTCACAACTGCGCATGAAACGTACTCACGCATGGGGCATCTGTGTTCGCCCAAGACTTGATCGTACTCCTAGGGCTGATGGTAGTTCGTAACGAGAACCTGGACGTCCTCACTTTTGCATGCGTGACGGGCCTAGCCAGCAATCGAGGCGATAGCGTGCCCACATAAAGTAGCCTCTCGCCTTGAGTGGATATCAGTGCCAGTTTCGATCTGACGTCCCACTGCTACTGAGTTGTGCTTCAGCCATGCCTTCCAACGCACTGTACTCGCATCCTTTCTTCAAGGATGTAGATCTGAGCTCCATGACTACAGACGAGCGCGTCTCTTTGTCATACAAGCGCGCGCGCCTCATCCTTCAGACGTACAGTGGGTTCTCCCTTCTTCTATTCAAAGCACTCTTCGCTGAGAAGAGGGTACTGCTAGACCTCACCCTATCCGATGTGCTAGACTACAGTCCCAAGTTTTGGGACATGCATCTTGACCCAATCATCCCGCTCGACATCGCAACCTTCACTATTCTTGCTGCTCATGTGAACCTGACGATCGGTACTCTCGCTCGCTACGTCAAGGATCGGCCAGATCTGGAGCCTCTGCTAGCATCTATGCTGCGACTGGACACTGTAGGAATCTATCTCCTCAGTGAGCGCGGTCATGGACTAGACTCCTTCAACGATGAGACAACGGCAACGAGGATGGCAAACGGCGAATACATACTGAACACGCCCAGGGAAGAAGCTACAAAGTATATTAAAAGTCGCTCATTTCTACATCACGATCTGAGTTCACGTTACAGGTTCATGCCTGCGAGTACTCCCTCGTTCGGTGTCCGCAAGGTTGCGCTCGTCTTCGCGCGACTGATTGTCAACCAAGAGGATCGCGGTCACCGCTGGTTCATCGTCCCGATCTGCGACGAGGTTCAGCTGTACCCAGGAATCGTTTCGAAGCGCCTCCCGACGCGTAGCGGCACCTCTCCGCTCGACTTCTCCCTCACATCTTTCCATAACGTACGTCTTCCCGCAGGCGCTCTCCTCGGATCATCGCTCGAAGCACCCGTTTCCCCACACGACGCCTGGTGGACGGAAGTTTGGCGCATTCCCTTGGGTAGCATGGCCGTTGCTGCGCCGTTCGTCCAGGCCATCAAGCACACCGCGTACATCGGAGGTTCCTACTCCCTACACCGCTCCGTCGTTGGTCGTGGGCCGGTTCCCACTGCGATCATCAACTTCCCAACGCAACAATGGCCGATCCTGAGCGCCGTAGCCACCGGCAACGTCCTTGAAGCATGGTACAGGACGCTCACTGCTATCGTCGTCGATCAGGCCGTAGATCCTCGCGTGCGGCACGGTCTTTCCGTAGTGGCAAAGACGACCATCATGCGTCACTTCCAGCGTTGCGCTGATGTGATCTCCGAGCGTTGTGGCGCGCAGGGCACTTTCGAAAGCAACTTTATCGCGCGAGCACTTGTCAGTATCATCTCTTTACACCCGTGTTCCTTGAGCTTACCCTGTTTAAAGTGCGATTGCAAGGGAGTTATCATCGCCGAAGGCGACGTCCTCGCACTCTGCATCCGCCTCTTTTCCGAGCTCCTCTTGAAGCGCTACAGTCTTCCCCTCCCTGCGGCCGAAAGCTCGGTCCTTGCTCGCCACGCTCACGACATTCTCAACGATGCGACGGCTCTTTCGCAAAGCATGCCGGGTGGCCATCGTAGTCAAACTTTCCAATCCCTCATTCTCCCGCAATCCGAGGACTCGATCGCCGCCTTCGGACACGCGATGGCATACGCTGCTGCGAAGGCCGCCGGAGTTTCCAAGCGCATGCTCGACATTTACGAGCTTAACGTCATCGAGCTCGATGCAGTTTGGTACTCGGAGAAATCCGGCATCGGGAAGCTCGAGCTCTTGAAGAGGCGGTCCGAGGCCATGGCCGTGTCGTTCCCTCATCTGCGTGAGGACCTTGACAAACTGGGTGTCGAGAAGCACGTTCAGGCACCAATCGTAGAGGATAGATTGTTGAAGGCTAGCTTCAAAAGGCTCCCGACCTATCGCGGTCCGTCGTCCCAAGAGGAGGAGTCAAGGGCGGAGCATCTGCTTACCGCTAGACTCTGATCATTGTTTGTAACACTATGTATGACATGTATGTGTAGACGCTGTGACAGTGTAACTTAACGGGTAGAGTGCGGGTAGTGCGTGGATCGCGTGTAGTTATTGATACCTGAACCGTGTTAGCAAGATGTATGAGGAGCCAATCTTCATCGCCACACTTACCGGGTGTTGTGTACAATGATAATCAACTCGCGCGCCACAAAGTTGACAGTGATCCAGAACTTTCAGTGGCCACATCCTGAGCATGCATCGTTGGAGCTATCGCTGTCCTGACCGTCATCGAGGTTATCGACAAAGATGGTGGTGGGCGGAAGGCGACGCGGCGCGCACGACGGCAATCGCCGGGCGTCACCGCGCGCGGTCCGGCGCTTGTCCTCGAGACGCGTCTTCGAATCAGTCCACCACCACGACCCTTCGCGTGAAAACCGATATTCAATATGCCGTGCCCAACCTTTACACAACATGAGAACCCCGCCGCGTCGTAGACGATGCAATACCGCACGTCTCCTAATTGATGTAGTAGCTCCTCATGTGCGATCCTGCACATCCATCTGCTTCTCTCGCAGCTACGTATTGCCAAGGTCACCGCTTGGGCTATCTATGTCCCGTGCTATTCTTGCTTTCTGCTATACGGCCTGCAGTGTGATATCTCCGTCTCATGAGTAATACACCGTCGCGCGCTTCGTAACCTTCTCACCGGGCGGATTCCAGCTATTGGACGGCGCCACAACGCTACGGAGCAAATGGAACTATCGTCGTCCTTCCGCTTAGGGCGCTTCTTTGTGTGTACTCCTATCAATACTAGCCGCCGAACCCACCAATTCACGAGTGTCGGGATGACAGGAATCTCGCAATTACCTCCTTACAGTGCATGAACGCCTCCTGGGTTTCGCTCTTGTCTAGAAAGAGAGAAGAGCCGGGCTGAATACGATGAATCGACGACTGATGTTGTGGTCCCCGTCCAAGGACCAGAACTCTTCAAACGAAGATATCTGGGTCGCAAAGGGTAATAGCCCGACCTATTCCGCTTAACGGATGATCCTGCGCGCCTTCGCGCTTCGTCGGACAACAGAGCCCGCCGCAGTTGGAGTCCATGATGATAATCCCAGACCCCGAACCGTCAACAACCCCAAGCGTCGCCGGCTTTTCAATGCATTGTGACCCGCGCGCTACAACCATCATACACTCACGCACCAAACATCAGACTCCAGAGATACCTATGTTCAAGCGCGCCTGAGGACGCAAGAGCGAAACTGCCGATAAGACCGGCGAGCACTGGCCTCCGTTCTCGCGGATTCGAAACCGAAGGCCACGTTGCTACCTTTACCGTCGATGTCCCTGCATGAAAGCACGGTTTCCACATCATCATATACAAGTAGACCGGAGGTCTAGATACTCTATTTGCCATCAGTCGCCGCTCTATCCCCGACTTGCACTCACCTGGCGACGTCGCTCAATACCTGCCTACTGGTCGAAGTGCTATTCTCCACCATGGGGTCGCCGGCTCTGGTTGTGCGCAAGATTGAGCTGGATTCCACCCCATCGACCATCGGGGCGCTCTTCGCTGGCTGGGGCATCTCAATGCTTGTCTTCGGCGTCTTCATTCTTCAGTTTCTCATATACTTCACTCACTATACTAGAGATTCGCGCTGGCGAAAGCTTCTTGTACGCTTTCCTCGGGACCGTATCCTTACCCATCGCGTATTGACCCTCCCAAATCTTTTAGGTCTTGTCGATGGGGTCAGTGCCCTACTTCTCTGCTTCCTTGATTGCTACCAGACTGAATACTCCTACACTAGGGTGCTCGAGGTTGCTCATCAGATATTCGTCGGCCACACGTGCTGGAAGTACATCGTACGGTCGGTCATTACCGCTGTCTTCCCGCGATCCATCATAGTAACAGGCCGAACCGGTACAGGAATTTTGGCAATGAAGAGGAGACTTTTGCAGCAAAGGCCGTTTGGTGTGTCATGCGCCTTGTATTCGTTTGACGGCTATATCTGACTACCCCGCTTTGCGCAGGAGCTTTACAGTACGTCATATGCGACTAGTCCGAGTCCTTTCCCTGCCACTGATTCGCTGTCTAGGCAATAGTCTTCTTGAACGTACGTGCTGATGTGCTCGTGTCATTCCTATGACTAAAGACATGCTGCGGTCAGGTGGTTGTATCCGCTATAGTGAAAATATTCCTTGCTTGGCGTATATACATTGGTAAGGAACCCTGTACCTTTTGGAAGCCGGCATCGTACTCAACTACTCAGTCAGTAGCGGCCACTGGTGGTGGACAGCTCTCATTGTAAGACGAACACCATGTATCGCGATGTGTACTGAACCGGGTAGACCATGTTGGCCTTTGCGCAAATGGCACTGGGAATCGGTGTGTATTCCATAGACCATTGATTGTTGCTTACGCTGAAGACCTGCGTAGCCTTCTCCATCGCAGCGTATGTCGATAGCTCTTTGCTTTGGCCTCTCATCGCTCGACTGACCTCTGGACGACAGCTCAAAGCAGCCTATCAACTCGCTCATTGCCCTGAAGGTGACAAATTGGTGTCTGTTCTGCGCGGTCTCACTCAAGCACGACATACAGTCATTAGCCACGGCATCCCTAGCACTGGGGGCGGTGGCCGATGTCGTCGCCGCAAGTATTCTCAGCTACTACTTACACACCATGCGAACTGGTTACAAGAGAACAGAAGGATTGATCAACAAACTCATCATGTTCAGGTGAGTCATCGGCATTGAACCTAAGATGTACCCGCTCACCGATATCTCAGCGTGAACACAGGCGCTATCACGTCAGCGTTCAGCGTCTCAGTTGTGATACTGGTAGGATTTTCGATCTGTAATCTTGGAGTAGAGTTAGTGACCCACTTCGCAGTACCAGACCATGCCGCACAACTTCATCTTTCTATCTATGTGAGCTCTCGTGCGGAGACTGTTCAAATCGTGACTGACGCGCTTGCAAGCTGGTTCTTCGTATCCAAATGTAGGCGGCTGCCATGATCTTCTCGGAGTAGGTTGATTGACGTCATTACAGTATACTCCAATTCCCTCCTAGCGACGTGAGCCCAAGGACCAGTATCCCAAGTAGCTCCGAAGGTGACTGACGGGTCATCGTTCTAGGCTTAACTCTCGTGCTGGACATCGCATCAAAGAATCCATCCAGTCTTACTCGAGTGGCGATCATGCGCTCACTTTCATGCGTCCCCGCGCTCGGAGTACCGCTGATGTGCACGTTCTCAACTCCAAGGAGCCTCAAGTGTGTTCGCGCCACGCATCTTCTACAGGCTATCATTTGGCTGACAGGGTCCATATCGCACAGCCTGCTCTTCACATCAGCGTCAGCCACGAAGTTTCTGTCATTCGCGATGACAGGGATGACAAGGTTCGGGCATTAGGGGACGCCAGTATGAAGGAGGATTCCGGACATGCTGTAGCTGTTTGAATGTTCATGATCACGACAAGGGTGGCGTATGGACTAATAGAGCTACCACGATGCCCAGACTTAGAACAGTATGAACCAGTTTGACAGTGATGCATCCAGTGTATCTTGTATCGTAATCGCCATGTCCAGCTGATGACCTGCAGACGTACTAGCTCTCGTACTACTCGTCTTCGGGGTAAAGCTACAGTAGTCGTTAGTACGACTTAGCGCCGGAACTCTATACACACCTTTCCAGGATTGAACAATCCCAGTGGATCTAGGGCTTGCTTGACGGTTTTCAGTAGCCGCACTGTGCCTGCGCCCAACTCCTCCTCCAGGTATTCGCGCTTCCCGATTCCAACCCCATGCTCACCAGTACCTGAAGCGTGATTGAGCGCCGTTGACCATCGTTTAAGGGCGCGCAGACTCACACGTTCCGTCCAGAGCGAGAGCGCGTTCGATCATCTTGTGGACTATCTCGGCCGCTAACTCTTCCTCGCGCGCGTTACGGTAGATCACACCGGCATGGAAGTTTCCTAGACGAGTGTATGAGCAACAATCGTGACCACAAGCCAAGCTCCTTGCGTCCGAAGCGCGACTCACCGTCACCTGCATGTCCCAAGATGGTGCCTAAGATGCCGGCTTCGTCCATGTCCTTCCTCACATCCTCGACGAGCTGAGGCAGCTTTGAGACGGGGACACTGTTACCCGCGCTCAGTTGGTATTGCTCATGCACGGGCAAAGATGACACTGACCACACATCTGTCGGCCAAACCGTTGAGCCTGGGCCACCATACAGCGCGCCAGCGTATGGTGCGTTTTTTCTGTCCGCCCACAGGTGTTGTGCAGCTTCGCCTTGGGCAGATACCCAGTTCTCTCCTCCGTGCTTCTTCGTAATCTCGCGCGCAAGAGACTCAGACTCGTCGATTGCACTTTGCGTCGCGCCCTGTATTTTCAGGAAGAGATGATCCGCGATCGCGTACTTCTGCTGAGGGTTCCCATGATTATTGATGGCGCGCATCTGGTGAGCGTCTAGGAGTTCGATGCACTCTACGACAGTACAAGTCAGTACCATCCGTTTCACGTTGTAGAGGATCGACGCACGTAGCCCAGCACCACGATTGAGTAGCTCCACAACAGCGTCGCTCGCGTTCCGAACACTGGGGAAACTGACGATGGCGACCCCAGTCGGCAGCACGGGGGCGAGACGCACGGTCACTACAGTGTCCCAACGCGTCAGTCATGCCTCTCAAACTGCGCAGCGTCTCACGTACGTTCCGTGACGATTCCTAAAGTGCCCTCGGCGCCGATGAACATCTTCGTAACATCCCAGCCAGCCGATGACTTCCGCGAGCGCCTTCTCGTCTTGATGACTTCACCAGATGGCAACACGATGGTCTGAGGTCGAACATGTTTTAGGACTTGGAACGCGCCGAAGTGGCAATATGAACGTACAGCGTTCAAGAACCATTCACCACGCGCGGTGCCATAGCGAACCGCGTTGGCTATGGCTCGTCAGCTAGAGTTCATATCTCGACAGCGGTAGACTTACGTCCTGAACAGCCTGTGCTAAACATGCCGCCCAAAGTTGCGTTTGGGCCAGGATCGAGCTGACCAAAGACTTAGACTCCATGACACGCTCGTAGGTTGTAAGAACGTACGGGAAAGAAGAGCGGGATGCCTCGCTCTTGCAATACATCGTTTAGCACCATCCAACCGACCCCAGGTTGAACCACGACATCCGCATCAGCCTCTTTGCGCATAGTCAGTTGGGTCTATGTCGGAGAACTTGTACACGGACCGTGGATTTCCAGAATGTTGTCCATGTGGCGCGATACATCCACGCAGATGCTGCCATGATTCGTCTGAAAGTGGCGTCAGTATGAAGCATGCTTTGGCGGTCTGTGACAACGGCTCACGCCGGTGATATGCCCCTCCAGGCTTGTCCCGCCGGAGTATGGCACGACGGGTATGCGGTACTTGTTCGCAAGTTCTACGATCTTTACCACGTCATCTGTCGACTGGGGATAGACGATGATGTTGTGCGGGACGGCTAATACATGTCGTAAGCATTGAACATGCCCAAGTAGTGTACTACTAACCTTCCTTGTGAGACAAGAACCATTTGGCGTGGGCATCAAGATCGGACTCCTCCGTCGAGAGAAGCTCCGGGCGGTCATGGAATGCTTCTTGAAGGGCATTCAAGGCAGACTTCAGCTCCTCGTGTCCACCGTAGCCAGGTTGCGAGTTGGTAGAGTCCGTTCGAGCCACAGCCTTCTCGCGACGACTGTAGACTACGCCGAGCCCGAAACTGAGTACAGAGATTCCGGCTATCACGAGTGCATTCGGCTTTGCGCTGCGGCCCTCAGCCTGTCCGGTTGAGGTGCTGTACGCAGACGTCGTATGCTTTCGCATGCAGGCGGCGGGTCTGAACGCGTCGACCGCGCACATGCGCGGGGCTCGCGCGGTGGCTCGGGTGAATACTCGAGAGCGTAGCATGCTGGCTGGCAGGTGACGATGGTGGTGGCGGGTACGAGAAGCCGCATTTAGGCGCTCAAACTGCCTGCATGATCCCATCCGTACCCAGCGCTACTGGCCGTGGGGCGTGGCATCACGCATGTACATTTCTGTCGTAGGAGCCTGAGGCCGCGAAACCCAGACCCTGCCAGCGTGGGATTTCGGACCCTCAGAGTGTACAGAGAAGCGCGAGACAGCAGGAGCATCAGACAAGCATTACAACGAAGGCAGGATCGCGAGGTGATTCAAGCTGTGAAGCTTTCGAAGCTTGCAGATGCTCATGACGATGATGGGCGGCGCAGAGCAACGGACCTCGCTTGAGGCCGGTATTCGGAGTTCGGCCCGGGCCCGGCGTCGCGTCGCGCGCGTCTGTTGCGCGTCTGCGCTCGTTGGCATCTTGTCTTCGCCGCTCATGAGCTGATGGCCGCGCATATTTTGCTCCCCTTGTGACGTTGGACATCGAGGCCAAACACTACCAAGTGAACCGCTTGTTACTCCTCCGTGTGAAGAGCCGGATTGGTAAAAGCCGGAGATGAAGGTCCGGTACTGCTGCCTGCATGGCAGTGTATCTTCTACTTCTGCCGCTCTTCAAAGATGTGACCGAGGCCATGCAAAGAAGCTTTACAATGCATCCTAAAGAGTGGTAGGTAACGGTACGGTAAGGTGTACCGCGTGCCAGCTCTGATCACCATAGAACCGATTGTACGCTCTCAGGGCTCCAGCACTATCGCGCTAGCCCATTCAATCCGCTCAGATCGGTAACACCACTGCGTAGAACATCGCGCTTCAACATCAGTATCAGCAGCATCGCCTGATCCCTCGGGCTACTTACGCCTTAGACGAAGTGGTGGCCAGCCATTTATCCTAGTCAACACCGGGGCCCAAGAGTCGTGTACGACTGCGCGATACCCGCTTCAGAGACACCCAAGCATCTCAACGTCCCCTCCCCCTTTCACGCCAACGGGCCGCCTTCTCGATGTCGGCGGCGAGCACGACCATCCTCGCGTCATCTTCCGGAGAACTGCCGCCAGTCTCGTCGACTATCGGAGCACTCTTTCTCGGATGGGGCATTTCTATGCTCATCTTCGGCCTGCTATGTCTTCAGACCTGGACGTACTTCAGCCGCTACCCCAATGACTCCCCCCGGAATAAGCTACTTGTATGTTTTTGAACCTATTCGTTATGCTTCGTTACCGACGATGACCTGCCCCGCGTTGTAGGTTGCATCGTTATGGCTAGTGATCACTATCCTTGAGAAGAGAAGCGCCGAGCTAAAGCCGGACGACTTGCAGTGTACTCGAGATAGTTCACCAAGTATGTATTGGGCATACGTGCTGGGTGTACAGTATTACGTTCGTTCAACACCTACCCTTGTCCCATTGAAGCTGCGATCACTAACTTCTCTACGTGAAACAGGGAGTATGGCTCGCTGGAGAAGGTCCTTCTCGGTACGACTGTATGGTGCGTCATCGTGTCATCTGCTCCATCGACTGCTCTATCTTACCGTAGGTTACTCGTTACAGGAGTCTGAGTGTACGTCGCAGTGAAAGCAACTCGTAACTTCGCTGACGCGGACGTGCAGGCCATCATTGTGTTGTCTGTGCGTAGCCTTTCCCTGACACCTGGCTCGTTACTAATGCACGCTGTAGGGAATCATAGCTGCCACCGTCAAGATCTTCCTTGGCTGGCGCATCTACCGAGGCTAGTCTCGAGATCATACCTTACGTCCCATACAACTGAAGTCCTTCGCTCAGTCAGCCAAGGCAACTACCTATGGATGATCTTCCTCGTACGTGGTATGGCATAACACTCGACATCCGTGCTGAACTCGATGCAGAGCGGCCTAGCTCTTACTCAAACAGGACTTGGCCTCGGTACGTGACATTATCGTAGCAGGCGCTCTTCCACTGAACGTATCTGCAAGTGTTCTCCGTTCGAGCGTAGGCGAACCTCTACCCCTGTAGGCGTGCGATCCTGACACCAGGCATACAGTGTAGATCTTCCCGTTGCCGAACTCGGGAAGCTGAAGGTGCGGACTACTGCTATACGCGCCCAGTCTTTATCGCTCATCAAGTCCATATCAGACCATCGCAACTGTGGCATTGGCAATCGGTGCAGTGGGTGACATCATAGCTGCACTCGTTCTCTCGTTCTACCTGCATACGATGCGCACGGGCTTCCTGAAATCTGGACGATTGCTCAACCGTCTTATAGTCTTCAGGTATGCTGTGCGTACGAGACATGGTCTTGCTTACTGAGCGATTCGGAGCGTGAACACAGGAGCCCTCACAGCGGCTTTCAGCCTGGCAGCTGTGATTGCAGTAAGGACGTTCGCGAGAGCGTCTATACGTCAAGGCTCACGAGATGTGCAGTTTCAAGTGATGCCCGACAACTTCATATATCTCTCGATGTAAGAGCCATGTCCGTGATGCCGATTATAGCGGCTGATCGTAGGCTGCAGCTACTTTTTCGTGTGCAAACGTGTGTAGGAATCGGTGACAGGACGGTTCCATGTGCTTGATCGTCGTCACTAATCCCTTCTGCCTTTAGTGTACTCGAACTCGTGCCTCGCAACGTGAGTTGTCCCTTGACAGAACTTGTGGCGTCGTCCTCGGCCTCAACATCTTCGTCAGATTCAACTCCCGCACCAGTCAAGCTGCTGCCAACGATAGCTTCGGTCTGCGATCTGTGCCAACTGCCGCATCCCACGACCTATCCATGATGCGGCCGCGCGTTGTTCAGAAGCCATCATTGGATGTAGAGGGCGGGTCTGAAAGACAGGTGCGCGACGTGGTATTGATCGAGGTGGCGCACGCTTGATGATGACGCGGAACACGTACAGGCCAACATCCAGATTGGCGTGCACCGCGAGGCATTCACGACTGTGGATGATAAGCCATTCAGGGTATCTGAAGGCTCTGTTGTCATTCAATACGAGAGCCAGTGATACTTGGCCGCCCATATTCCCTTCTGTATCCCTAAACATCTTTCGACCGGTCATCGCGTCACAGTACTTGGGACCTTTTGTATCTTTTCTCCTCTGGACCGACCTATCTCGTATTCTTATTCAGTTTCCTGTGTACATCTGTAGTCATCCGTGGGTTTAGATTCCAAAGGACATATTGGCGCGTCTATTGAGCTCCACCTGTGCTTCGACGGCATCATGGCCAGACACAGAAGTTGTTACAAGACGCCACTATGTGACCGACGCGACCACCGGCACCGGCACTTGAGTTGGAGGCGCAGGCGAGTTGACAGCGCAGGAAGAGCATGAGATTGGACGGCCCGCTCTGGCGTAAATGTACAACTAAATCAACTCATCGAGTGGGCCACAGGGGCCCACAGGGGCCCACAACTTGAAGTTCGTCACGACCCCCTCTTCGCACTCCTCATATCCCTTTCCAGCCCTTGCACTCGCACAGACAGAGCCGTCTCTGCACCCACGGGCCAGGTTCATGTTGTGCTGGGCGGCCGGGCGACGTCAGCGCCAGGTGGCCGAGCCGCCGAGGGTGGTCAGACAGCGCTCATGCCGCCCGATCCGGGCCGACGCAGGCCGACTCCGGCTTCGCCTGCTGCTGCGCGCCGCCGTCAGTCGTGCTCACGCTCACGACTTGTCTTCGACGTCCACCGTTGATCTCGTACATATGGCCTACTTCATGGTGCGTCTGCTAGACTGGTCATGTACACAATCACCTGACTGCTGTCTAGGAATGTCACCCGGCGAACATAGTTTATGCCTCCACCTTACGACAGACTCTCCTACGTCTTGTTCAGTTCATATCCGGGTCTATAGTCATCCCTTTGCGTCCAATACATTTGATGCGTCCATATACAAACTGCGGTTTATCGGCGACTCTGGCTGAGTCAAACCCTCGTCCATAACTCAGTACGGGTGCACTCTACGCCGAGTTCTTACCCATACTCATCGGCCAGTTGAGGGCACATGGCGTGCTGGACGGCGAACACTGTTAGAGTGTGTCAAATAAGCTCTGCCGGCCCTTTGTGGATGTTCGGGACTAGGTTTGGGGGAGAACGGTGGCGATGACCAACTGAAGCGTCTATGATCAGGACCCTTCGGCCAAACGCGTTCGGCGTTCTTCCTAAGATGTCACCGTGCGTCGCGGCAAATCTCAATCACCTTCTCCCGCCGCCTTGAAACGATACGGTGCGATGCGCAGCGCCATGTTTAGCATAAGACAAGTGCCAGCTGGACACCAGTGATAGTTGGCGGAACGATGCATGGTGGCGTGTAGACCTTCTCGCCATGGATCTTGGGGAGAACTGATATCATGTGCATAGAGCTTCAGACCTTCCTAATCCCTCGCCTACTCCCTCCAACATGGCAACTCGCTTGGTGGGCGATCGCTTCTGCCCCAACAGTAACAATCACACCGCCTGGAATGTTGACGCGCTTGTGTGTCAGAGGAAGCGGTTTCCGCCTATTTAGCTACCTTGTCGTCTGCGGAACGAAGATTGCGTAAGAACGAGGTGAGGCCCACTCCGGAACTAGTATCGATACGTTTGCTCATACTCGACCACCTAAAGATGACTGCCACAGCAAACGGGATTAGCCTTGCTTCCTCTGCGCCCAAGGTTACTGTGGAATCGAGTGGAATGCCTACGGTCTCGACAACCATCGGGGCGCTGTTCATCGGATGGGGCCTCTCCATGCTCATATTTGGCCTACTATGTCTTCAGACGTGGACATACTTCGGACGCTATCCACGGGACTCTATTCGGAACAAGATACTCGTATGTCTGCTCATCGTGACCTCTTCGTCGCAGGCGACGCTGACCAGGGTCTATCCAACGAAGGTCATCTGGTTACTGTAAGTAGCCACTTCACTGCATCGCCGATCTACGCCGACTCGCCTATAGAACGCTCGAAACTCTTCATCAAATTCTCGTCGGACATACTTGCTGGCAGTACACCGTCACGTTTGTGTCCATGCAGTTGTACACGGCGCTGTCGAAACTCACTTCTGTATGGGCTAGCGATTACGGCCTGTTGGAGGAGGTTCTGTCCAACACTACGGTGTGGTGCGCCTGTGTGCAATTCGCTCGCCTTGCAGTGAACCTGATGTACTTGCTTACTATAGGAGTCTCAGTGTGCGTTTCATCTGAATCCAAACGGACTGTCTGCTGACCCATGCGCACAGACGGTCATCGTGCTGTCGGTAGGCCATCTACCATTGGTGAAACTGGCGATGATCCATGCATGTTGCAGGGAATCATCGCTGCCACCGTGAAGATATTCCTTGGCTGGCGCATCTACAGAGGTTCGTGAGGCGAGCCCAACTCACGTGCTGAGCATGATCGAATGACACTCCGACAGTCAGCCGCGGCAACTACTTATGGGCGATCTTCCTCGTGCGTAAGAGTGACCCTAGTATAGCTCGACGTCCGAACTGACCTACGCGCAGAGTGGCTTAGCTCTTGCTCAAACAGGGCTTGGTCTTGGTGCGTATCACGTGAGTACTGGTATAGCAGGCATTGACTGGAGAAATACTCAGTATTCTCCGTGAGAGCGTACGTACCCCCATACGTCGAGCGACACCCTACGGCCGCTGATCGTTTGCAGTGCGCAGATTCCCGTTAACAAGCTTGACACCCTAAAGGTATGTTTCCCCCTCGCATACTAGTGCTAGCCATTCATGACACTTACAGCCGTTTGAGTAAAGATTGGCAAAACCGATAGGACGAGAGAGAGAGAGAAAATAAAAATGAAGTACGTTGGAATAGCATGAAAATAATACAGTAGAGTACTATAGCTTAAGCAAGGCTGGCGCAAAAATCGGGGCGGCGATAGCTAGCGTGGGAAACGTACTGTGGCCGAAGTGCTCGCCCGCCGCCGCCGCGCCTCGTCTCTCGCGTCCATTCTCCTTTGACGCTCGCTCTACGCGCTCCCTCCCTCCGATACCTCCCGAACCTTGCGCGCCGCGCCCGCTCCTCGGTCCTCCCCTCCATCCTCCGCGCCGTGCTGCCGTCACGCCGTCACGCCGCCGCCCGCCGCGATCGCGCGTCGCGTGTATCGTCCCCAACCTTCGCACCCGCCCGCTCTGCCGCCCGCTCTGCCGCTCTCCACTCCCGCCGCCAGGCGCCTCCTGCCCGCGCTCCCGCCTCGTCCGAGGCTCTCGCGACATCGCACCGTGACCGTTGGCCCCGCGCGTGATCGCTGGGCGGCATACTCGCCCCGCGTTCGTCTCGCGAACCACGTACAATCGCTGTAGCTACCTGATAATGCCTTATCTTGTATACATGTTCTCTGCCTGTATTGTGTATGTCAGTTATCATGATTAGAATGTTCTGCGAAGGCTGTCAATCGAACATGCAAGAATGTCCACGAGGGAGCCGAATAGAAGCAGGAGCCGAACAGGGCAGTAAGTTCAGACGATAAAGTTCTATGTCCCGCCTTGTCGTGTGGCGTCGTCTTTTCCCATTGTTCGGTGTGCATTGCTGATCAACTTGACTATTGGTGTCGACCATGCCGCCGCGAACTCGCAGCCAGGACGTAGCACCCTTGCAACGTGCTTCTTCTGAGCTGACGCCCGGACCTGAATCCGAATCCGAACCTACGCCCGAGCCTGCGCCCGCGCCGCAGCTGCGCAAGCGTCTGTTTACTGTCCGTTCTATTGTCTCACGTCGTCTCACACTCACTCAGGGAAGGCGGCGTCCGCGACGTCATCGTCGCATGTTCCGGGGGACTCGGACGATTCAGAGGAGCTCGAGCGCAAGAAGGTTGCACGTAAGAGGCGTCGTACAAAGGACCATGAGGAGAGTGGTGCAGAAGATGATGAAGATGAAGACGAGCTTGACGAGGAAGAGGATACCGATGAAGACAGAGTGAGGGCAGGCAAGGACAGGAAGGTAGCTAGCGAGACAGAGTTGGACGAAGAGTCGGGGGACGAGGCACCGGTAGTAAAGCGCGGCCGCGGGCGACCACCGAAAACGAAGACTAAGGGTGAGCCTCAAATGCTTTGACATATATCTACGATGACTCAATATCCAATTATGTACCAGGTCCTCCACCTGCAGCTGCGAAGGTCGTCACGTATGAGCTCTCGATTTACACGGCCAAGGAACTCAAAAAGGCTCAAACGAAACGCACTGCCACGAGCGGCAAGGTCGTACTCGCAACTTCTGTCTCCTGGCTACAGTTTGAACAGAAGCTCGTCGACACTGTGAAGACGAGATTGAATAAGCCCACGTCAAAACGCGACAGCTTCGACTTCAGCATCGTCATCCCTCGGCTCATGAAATCATCCGGCCTGAATACGGTCGAGGACTACGAGTTCGCTATAGGAAAGCTTTCCGGATCAAAATCTGGGCAAATAGCCCATGTCACTGTCAACGAGGTGCCCAATCCTGCAACTGCGTCGGAGAAGCGGGAGGCTATAGAGTTGTCGGATGATACGGATGCAGGAGAGAAGCCGAAGAAGCCGAAGAAGAAGGGGAAAGTTAGTACTGATCATCTTTCATCTTGCAATGCCGGACTTACAATGTGTCAAACTCAGACGACAAAGATCTATCCGAGTAACGATGACCACGACGAACGCATCGCTACGCTCCGTGAGCGTCACACCTGCAAATCGTCAACGTGTGGGAATGGCACCTCTCACTGCTGGGTCGATCCCGATACTGGAGCTCATACTGCTCTTGGAAATCAGCAGCTGGATGCTTGGGCAGCTGCCATCGTACGTCTTTGACCTACCTTGATCTATCCTTCTTCTGACAATGGTCGGAAGCCTGCGGGGAATGCCTCGTACACAAAGCCGCCCAATCATCGCCTCTTTGATCCGTCGGTTGCGAGCCCGGTGCGAGAAGCCCGCCGCATTGCTAATGAGGCCAAGGGTGCACCTGCCGTCGCACCCTCTGTGAACATTCACTTCCCGAGCGAGTTTGCGAATGCTTTGCGCCCACCTGTCCCGCCAGCTCCCGTGGGTCCTGCTGTTGTAAACAACACAGGCATGTTAGTACCACCAGGCCACTCGCCAGGGCCATCTATGTCTTTGGAAGACTTCGCCGCCCTCTACGATCTTCATCCTGACACGTTTACAGCCCTCAAGGCTGCTAAATTCCGTGATGCAGCGGAGCTCGGTCATCTTTCCTTGGCGCAATGCGAGAAGGCCCTGGATTTGGCTCTGGGCCAATCTGCTAACCTTGCTTTGGCCGTGGCGACTTGGGCAAAGAAGGAGTGAATCTTGTCCCTTTCTTGATCTTGTAGCGCTGGACGCACATAGAGTACCCGATTGTACAGTATTACATTGGTCAGAAGTAACCGGCATGAAGAAAGTAGCCACAGGCATCAATATCAGTGATGATGTCCATCACTTCATATAAATCCCATCTCTTCGCCTCCTCGTCAGCCTCCGCGTAGTACTGCCCATGACGACGCAAGAAGTGCTTGATCTTAGAGAAGGCCTCTTCGATCGGGTTGAGATCAGGAGAGTAAGCAGGTAGATACTCGATACGAACACCTATACAGGCTTTCAGTGATGGTGTATCAGCGAATACGACGAGTACGCATACCAAACCTATCAACGAGCTCTTGCATCTCTTCGCCGTGATGGATTTTGGCATTGTCCATCACAAGGACACTACAGGGGCCTGGATATGCTGAGCAGTTGGGGAGCTACAATGAGGATATCAGCGGGAGGAGAAGAATCAATCGGCTATTGCCCTTACCACTAACTGCTCTAGGAACTCAAGATACATGACCTTCGTCATAGACCCCTCTACGACCTTCGTTGCTGATATGCCATCGATGGTGAGGAGGGAGCATGCCGTGAAGCGAGTACCGCGGACGAAAGGTTGCTCTGCTTCTGCACGGAGCCCCATAAGAGCACGTCCGTAGTGGCGACCGAGAGTCCGCTCATCCTTCGAAACCTCATCGATAAAGCCCAGTTCCTCCGGCAAGTACTGCGCCATACGACCAACATATGCAGCCCGAGCGAGTTCGTCACGTTCGGCTGCAATTCGCCTCAACTTCTTCCTGCTCACTCGCAATCTCTTCAACTCGTTGAATATCGTAGTAAAGTGGACAGAGATGAAGCGATTCTTCCGTGTAAGATCCAGAAGCTCGTCGAGGAAGTATGTTGGGTTGGCGCGGATGAGCTTGAGGAGGTACTGAAGATCCTCGCGAAGCATGAGACGAGGCCGACCGCGTGTCCCCGTCTTGGGCGTAACTACGTCGCCAGTTTGTTGCCAAAGAGCCCATGTACGGTAGAATGTACGTTCAGACATCCCGCAGGCTGGAGCGATGTCTTCGATGCTAAGATGACTCAACTCATACAGCCTACACGCAGCGCGTTTGACATCCGCGTGGATCCAGCGCCGTCCAGGCATATGAACGTTGGAAACAAGAATGCCAACTGCCAATGCGGCATTTTCAGTGGGGATCACTTCCCATTCTCGCTTCCATTATATATGATGAAATTTTTAGATAGATACAATGCATATAGTGTACAACAGGTAATGAAATGCCCAATCATGGGAGACTCGATACGGCATGTTATAGGCGAAGGCGGTTCGCGAGACGAACGCGGGGCGAGTATGCCGCCCAGCGATCACGCGCGGGGCCAACGGTCACGGTGCGATGTCGCGAGAGCCTCGGAC